GTACAGCTAGCAGGGAAAGCATAGCCTGTTGGTCCCAGGCACAGTTTAAAGGATAAGGCTTGTGCATTTTATTGTCAACAAATCCTCAACATTTGGATCCCATTGGTTCCTGCTGAAGATGTAAATCTTTAAAATTGGCTTTAAAATGTATAGTTTATTTTTTTCAAAGGCTCAGTAAAGCTAGCCACTGTAGATTTTAGCAAACCTTACTCAAACAGGAGACGAGTGCATTTGTTGGGGACTATTTTCAGCTGCGGAATGAATCCGCAGTCGGTGCAGTATTTCCCTGACACCCATTCAAAGGAAAAAGGAGTCACCAAACCTGCAGTAGAACATGCATACATACACAGATACTTATCGTTTTTTATTATATTTTACATCAAGGATATTTTTTTATATCATTACACAACACAAGGTTGTACAATACTTATCAGTGCGAAATAAAATATTATAGGCCCATTCTCAATCACTCCAGCTCTGCACTTTTTCAGATCAATATTTAACTTAAAAAGTTTTAAGTTTTAACAGTAATAATAAAAAATTAGTTTATATTTAACGCACTAGGAAACAGAACAAAACAAAAAAGGTTGCAGGTATCTTGATGCTATTGATGTGGGGAGAGGGAGAGCACACGGCCGGCAGGACTGACTCCACTGCAGGAGCTTTATCGTCTTGTTTTTATGTATACAAGGGAGAACATAGCCACATCATACATCTAAGATGTTGGAAACAAGCAATTCAGCAGTGAATCAGACAATGGAACAAAACCTGTCCGTTATTATTGTTATTGAGTGCTGTCAGACCGTGTTGAGGGCTGAGATGTATCAGCACTTCTTTAAGCTCTGTGTCAGATCTTTCCACTGCTGCTCTGAGGGTCACTATCTTTCTGACTGCTGAGCTCATGAAAACCTCCTGAGCCGGAAAGCGTGTTATGTTACTATGACAACCAGCAACTGAGAGTTGTCATGTGCAGCTGCAGCATAACAGCATGTTAAACAGAGCTAATATGGCAATTTTATATTTATGGCTTTTTTTCTTCTGTTTCAACATGTTTCAATAGATATAGATGTGGTGCAATATGTTCCACTGGTAAAAACTTCCCAACAGCATTTGCATGATAAGACATTGCATACCACCACAAATGAGTGTGTGCAGCTGAATTCTGCCGTGCTACAACTTTCACTGCAGGGATCATCATTAGAGTATCGTATTATTGTTGGCCAGGAGCTTGTAGGAGGGTTAGAAACACTTTTCCTCTGATGTTTATCTTCAGGAGAGGGTTACTTTCGCAACAAAGATTGTAAATTGTATCAATACCTGCATGTTAAAGAGACTCTGTGCTGGACTTTACTTAGTGGAGTCATTATCATACAGCACTCGCTGTCACTGCACTGCTTTGCGTGGCTCTGTGGTTTTCCTGTGCAGGCTGTGAAAGAGACAAGAAAACAACCCTGAAAATCTGATAGCAGTACTCAAATGTCTCTTTACATGCACACATTATGACTGATGATGATTTGATAGAGAGATTTATGGAGATTAAAAGCAAAGCACTCGTCTATTTCCCTCTGCCTCGTCCTCCCAGGGTCTTCTTCATATAGATTCACTGTTATGCAGTGGTAGTCTATCTCTGGTCACCTCCTGTGCCACAGGGAGATCCTCTCTCCCCCTGTGGTGCAGTAAATGGATTATATCGAGCTGGTTCACCTTACATGACTTGTTCAAATACAAATCAGTAGCCATACTTTATTTGTGTGATGGTAACCAAAGTGTTTGTCCCATGATTTAATGTCTGAACTCCCCTTTTTGATGTTGGAATTGGGGGGGAAGAGCTGGCTTACTTGTTATGAGAACTTGAAATCTATGTACCTGTTTAGGTAACTGTGGTCTAAGTGGCAATGACAACAAACCCATGCACTTCTGTGGCTGTGAGTGTAATGTTATCAGCTAATGTTACATCTGTGTAATTCTCTTTCTGGAGATTCTTCTCTCTATGAGTCAAGCAGACATCTTTTTATCATCACTATCAGATTTTTGAATCATATTTATGTGTATGATTAGCTAGCTACTTTTTCTTACTATTTTTACTAGACTCATCCATTTTACACACAGATTAGGTTGTAGATGATCAAATAACAGCAAGGCAAGGGACTATTGGTCCCGGAGATTATCTTCAAATCAGCTTTAATTGATATTTTGGCCACCTGCAGGCAGCGGATGATGTGGATGTAACCCAAAGATTGCACAAATCACACAAGTACATCACACTTGATCAAATTTTGATCACTTTCAATTTTTTAATTTTTATTTATGGGCCAAGGTGCAGTCTGAACGGATGAGTTTTGGGAAAGAAGATGTGTGCAGTTTTGCTGTTCCTTCCATCATTGTGGAGCCAGGACAAACCACAGTCTGGATTTTAGCTGGGCTCCGTTTGTAGTGAAGGAATAGCAGGTTGATTGGCAGTAGCCAGTAGGACGTAGTGGGCTCGGCTGTTTGGGTTGGTCATGTCCTGGATGTAGGAAGGGACCGAGCCACTGGCAGCATGGTAGGCATGTAGCAGTATCTTGAATCTAGAGCCAGTGTTTGGTTTGTCTGTTCTGGGCTACTGTAGAAACATGGCAGTTCAACATGGCGGATTCTGTAGATGAAGACACCCTCCCTCTGTAGATATAAATGGCTCATTCTAATGTAAGAAATGCACAAAAAATATTATTTTCAGGTGATTATACAGTAATGAAAACATACCTATGAATATTATATTCCATTTCTGACAATAGATCCTAATAAATGTTACACACTGGACCTTTAAGACAGCACTCTTCCACAAGCTTAGTGCCATTTTAGGGTGGAACCTATGTTGCCTGATGGGAATGACACTGCCTTAAAGGCTGAAGTTGGAAAAAAGAAGCCATTTCCACAGAAAATGCCACAGGGATATCTCTAGATATATTTAGGTGTGTATACAGTATATGGTACATCCCCTGGCCCAGAAGGAGGTATATGACTCTGCTCACAAGATGAGATAATTGTGGTGTACAGCATTTCAGTGGTGGACTTTGCACCTCACCTGTTCGATCATCCTTATCGTCTTCAATAACAGCCACTGGGCTTTGTCATAAACGTGTGATCCCATCCAAAGGTTCAACCAGACTATCCTCTGATCTCAGTCCTCCCAAGATCACACTGACTCACTCAGAACGTTTTAGCAATCATCAACCATGCTGATTTTATATAAACCCTTGGATCAGTGTGCCTGGCTGTCTCTGAGAGAATGCTGATGTTGCAGTGGGAGATCTTAAATGGTCTCTTGGCAGGGCCTCACTTACAGATAGCCGCTGATAGCTGAGGGTGTTGCATAGATAACTGTGCTTTTATTAGGAGATGGAAGTGCAAGGTGGGTGGGGAACATGTGTTTTTTTTTTTTTATCAGAGCCACAGATGTTCATTACTGTTACTGCTTCATGCACATGTTAGCTGTAAAAGGGTGTAGAGACTCTGTTTTCTCCTATGTATAGGGAAGCCAAAAATAGATTAAATGTTGAAAAATAAAAAAAATAAGTCAAACTTTTCAGATACTATTTTGAAAGAGAGAATTTCTAAAAATATAACACAAGATCAAAATTTTAACTTTCAGAGTCAAGATTACTTTTACTTATTAATTAGTATTTGACTTACTATCTCATAACTTGGACTTATCTCATAATTAAGTATCTCAGAAATTTGATTTGGGCAAAAATGGGCTTCCATACATGTTTTCAATACATCCCACAAGCTGGACCATATGTCAAATGTCACAGTTAAATTAAGGACAGAACTGACTTATTATCTTGATTGTGCATGTTCAAAGGATAGTTGGCAGTAATGCACTAGGAAAGGTTTTGAAGCTGAGGTATTGGAAAATGACAACACATTTATTGGAGCTATGGACCTTTTAGTAATAGGAACCCATTCAACAATTATTTCCAGGAGCCATAAATATGTAACTCATGGCGTAAGAGTGCTAAACTGCTTGTGTGATTACAGTGTTAAAGGGTTAAATGAATATACAGGTCCTTCACCCACACGTGAGATTAGACACTTAACTTGGAGCAGGGCACAGCAGGATAAGCCTCTGCAAGAGAGCAGGAACATGCTACTGCTTCAGTGAGGAAAGGAAGTCAGCTGTAGTATACAATATGTTATTATGTGCCTGAACATATGTCTAATGTCCACGTAGATCTCGCCATAACAGAAGACTGCTCTGCCTACGCATGTTTATTTTTTAAGGCTGACTCAATATGTTATTTGTCCAAATAAGCAGCGTGCATACAGTATGTGATTAGGGAAGTTACATGACGTACATACCTTGTAACATAGAGCAAATATTGATTGACGTAAGACACATCTGGAAGTGGATTTGGAATTGGAGAAAAGAAGTTTAATTGCAAACTGTGTTTAAGTGGAACTGGCTGAAAGCAGCCACTAAGTAGCAAATGTCAACCCTCCTCTTAATCAGAAATGGCCACATGGTTATTGAGCTCTGTCCCTGCTGTTTGTGTTGTTGTGATTCACTCCACCCTATCAAACCATTAAACCACGACTATGTGAGATTTACAGGAACCACTTTCACCTGTTCTATTTATTGCTTTTAGACCTGCTGTCTTTACAGCCATCTTCAAAAGAATCACTTTTTTCCTGAAAAGTTATAATTCTGACTTGACTCATCATAAAAGTAAAGTTATCTTTCTAGATATATATTCTAGTAATATCTCATAATTACATTTTTTGAATATAATATTGACTAAAATTGCGATCTAATAATTTGTTAATTATTCATTCTGACTTGATTTATTCACACTTTTAGACACACAAGTATCATTTTGACTTTGATTTTGACTTCTGTTAGATGCTAAACTGCATTTCGTAGTGTCAGTACTTTGTGTACACTGTGCAATGACAGTAAAGTATAATATTACTGATTACACCTTTTAATCAACTGTTGACTCTCTCCTGTGTGTGTGCAGGAGGAGAGAGGTGGGCCGCGTCCTCGCCTCTGCCACCTGAAGAAGGGAGCCGGTGGCTACGGCTTCAACCTGCACAGTGAGAAGTCCAAACCAGGCCAGTTCATCAGAGCCGTGGATGAGGACTCTCCGGCACAGAGGGCCGGACTCAGACCACAGGACAAGATCATCCAGGTAGCCACATACAGTCCCCTTTTCACATTGTTCTTGATTGCTGAGACTTTTGCCTGATTGTGTGTGCGTGTGTGTGTGTGTGTGTGCGTGTGCGTGTGCGTTTTTTGTTTGTATGTGTATCAGCTGTAATCCTATTACATCAGTGGACAAACGGGAAACTGAAATCCCAGAAGCTGTTGGGTTATCACATCGAGTGTATGCACATTGTTTTTGAGTGTGTCTGTGTGTGTCCGTGTGTGTCTGTGTTGTGTTTGAAGCAGAAATGGGCATTTTCTCCCTCACTGTGTGTGATGACCAGGCCTTCTGGCCATGTTGAACATGGCAGGGTCAGAGTTAATCCACTTACTGTGTCTGTGGGCTGAATTACAGCCTGCCCAAACAGTCTGTAGGGCCTCTCACATGCAGGAGAGAGTGGGGGTACATGGTGGTGTAAATGAAGTAACACCACAACTGTACATAATGTATTCACATCAAGATAGAAGCTATACACAGGACATTGTGGGGGCATAAAGGCGGGTTTCTGGAGCCAGGACGCTGGGAATTTAATGAATTCTCTGTGGGAGTCAGGGGGAGTCAGTCAGACAAGGGTCACTGGGGGGGTAGTATAGTGTTCTGTACCACCTGTCCGATGTTCACAGCCAGTGTGGGAGTTGGTGAGACTGAGAGATTCCTGACGGTACTCCCACCTCGGATCGTCCTCCCACAGGAATTCCTCAGTGGCTTATCTCCCTGGATTCTTGATTCGTTCCAACTCTTGGCGTATGCTTGTGTACCACGCCCTGAGGTGGTAATGCTTTTACCAAATATTTTCCATCACTGGTACCATTGTTCTTCTGCCACTCCATTTATTATTTTTTAGTACAGTCACAAAGTTGGCAACTACATCTTTTGTTTAGCCTTCATCATTAGTCTTGCAGGGCCCTCTGTGTCCACTGTTCTTATCGTCCAAGTGTTTAGAGTATTTCCACCTGTGCAAGCAAACCTTTCTGTCATTTGTTGTGGAAACAGCTGTAGGGTACTATAGCTTCAGTCTGATAGTTAGAGGCTAATGGTGCTTTTGATTATTTTGAAAAAAGAATGCCGTACACCACATTTGTAAAAAAAAAAAAAAAGAATGTGATAACATGTTCTGGCCTATGGAGCCACTGGGGTCAGTATTAAATACACGAGTAGGAGATTCGATAATAATAATCATAATCATAATCATAATAATAATAATAATAATCATATGAATAAATAGGGTTTACATTTGTGTGTGAAATGTATGCACTGTAAACTGCATTACATTCCCAGTGTAACAAAAAAGTAGTTCCCTTGTTGTCTACAGTTTGTTCCCCTAACAAACCCACAATGCAATGTGTCACATTTTATCAGTCATGATGCAAAACGATTAGTAACTGTAAGAAATCTCACTATAGACTAAACTAGTGTGTCAGTCGGGTCAGCTCTTAGATTTGATACCGAGTAATAATTCAGTCTCACAAGACAACTTAGCTAGTTAGCTGACTAGCTAAATAAAGAGAGTTTAGTTGTTGTGACTGTATTTATGAGCTAGTTGGTGGATTCACAGTTTCTTTGGCATTGTTGTTGTTCTGAGCTAACAAGAGCTAACTGGCTACATTTGGTAGCTGTCGCTGAGCCTGCCAAGAGAGGCTGGGGGCATGTGTTTCATTCATTTTTTATTTGTATGTGTTTTATTTTTGACTTGTCATAGCAGGTACAGCAAATGTGTTACTAATAGCAAGAAGTACAGCTGTGTTCTATTCAAGTGTGCCAGGGAGCCATACACAATACCAGGACCCTGAAACTGAAGCAGCTAAATGGAATTCAGCCCACACAATTAATTAGTTCATATTTCTTTATCTATTTATTGCCATAATTATTAATTTAATAATGTATTAATGATGTAGTTAATGTTGAACATCTACTTATTCACCAGTTGTAAATTATCACTATAGCCTAGAAACTAGCTCCACAGTCATTGTACTGAAGGCCAAAGGGATTTTCCTCTCAGGGATCAATATAATGGAATAAAGCGGAGCTGCTAGTTTCACTCACTGGTTCGTGCCACCGAGGGTTTAATGCTGCTTTTGGAGATTTGTGATACTAAAATAGAAATCTTAGGTAATTTCTCCAAATCTGGAGCAGTTTGTTTGGTCTTACAGTGAGTGGAAATCACTTTATTTATATGAAACCTGGGTCATTTAGTGCTAGTGCTGTGAGTGCTTAAACCTGTAGAGGAATTAGGATTAGAAATGATTTCATCAGCTCATTATTTCAAAAAACACTAAATAAACTGCCAACGATTTTTCATATTATTTTCATATTTCATATTAGGTTCCATGTTGTCCTTGAAAATTGTAATTGTATTTTAGCCCCTCACTCTGACGCATATTTAGTTTGGAACTAGACTATTGTTAGGATGAGCTGTGCGCACACTTCAAAATGAGTTTACCAGATGCTAAGAGGAAATGACTTGTAGCGATCTGTCAGAGTTGCGGTTAGAGGAAAACTGTAGTCAATTCACGGGGGAGACCCCGGCTCCACTGCACTGTGACTGCAGCAGCTCTCATAAAGGCTGACCACTACCTGTAATAAAGCTGAGACTTCATCATGCTCCCTGCATCATTAATAAAGAGTTAAATGTGTCAATAGCAGGCCTACCGGTAAATGATATGTCAGTTTGTGAGCAAGTGCTGTCCTGTATTGTCAAGAACTCTCCTGGAAAATGATTTCTTGTGAATTGAATCTTGGGGTTTTGAACCTTTTTGGTTGGACAAAACAAGACTTTTAAAGATGTCACCTGAGGGGATCTGTGATCACTAGTTTTTGTCAAAATGAATGAATCAAATTAATTTGTTGAGCTGTGGTAGCAGCTTTTCAAATAAATCTGCTCTTATACTGCATAATTCATCTGAGTCTGTGTACGATTCAGAGAGAGTCAGACAAACTTAAAGCCTCTCCTCCTATCTCAGGTGAATGGTGTGTCGGTGATTGGCATGCAGCACTCAGAGGTGGTGGCAGCCATCAAAGCGGGAGGAGACGAGACCACTATGCTGGTGGTCGATGCCGAGACTGAGGAATTCTTCAAGAGATGCAACGTCCTGCCCACCGTAGAACATGTCACTGGTATGTCACAGAAATGCCCAGACAGTGTCTGGAACTCGCCAGAATCAGTGTGATCAGAAATATATATGCTAACTGATGACGATGATAATAATAATAATAATAATAATAATACTACAGATAAATATAAATATGGGTGAAGATAATCCCATGCTAACTCTATATGTCTTGTTTTTCCCTGTAGGACCTCTTCCTGAGCCAGCATCAGAGAGAGCATCAGAGGAGGTGAGGACCACCGCGCACACACGCGCACACACACGCACACACACGCACACGCGCACACACGCCCACACGCACACACACACACACACACACACACTCACACACACACACACACACACACTCACTTACAGATAGTGGCCTGGAAAAGCCCTGCTGATCCTCTCTGGACATTCCTGGTAGCAGATTAGGACTTCTGGACAGTGTTGTGTGGAGCATTCTGTCCGTCTTCATGTGTTTCCTGTCTGGACTGCACTGTAAAACTCTAAAACGCACACACAGCACACACACACAGACACACATTTCGGAGGGCTGACACTGATAATCTGTGAAGGTATTCAGCATTCCTGCCTCTGTTTTTTCTCTTCAGTGCAGACAAGCAAAGACATTTGTGCTGTAAACTAGTGCTGGGTGATAGCGGCTGTGTGTCAGTTTAATTCAATTCAGTTTTATTTGTATAGCGCCAATTCATAACAGAAGTTATCTCAGGACACTTTTCAAATAGAGCAGGTCTAGAGTGTACTCCCTTATAACATTGTGTAAGCTCTCTCCGAGGTTAGGGAGTAAAGTCGACACTAGAGTTACTAGTCAGTTAGTTTGTAAGTAAATCATCATAAAAATGGGTTGCACCACGTTTGGCCAGCAGATGTGTCTGAAGGCAATTTTTAATGATCGGCCTTGTGAGCACAGACATCGACTGATCCCTGACTGATTTTTTCAAAATGCCAGATAATGGGCCCAGATAATCAGCCTATCAGTGCTGCATTAAACACCTGAGACCAAGAGTGGTCACATGGTAAAAGACAGTCAGTGGTGTGGTCTAGTTCTAAACCACTGACAGACGAGCAGTAATATGAACTGTATCAGACCTGAGAACTGCTCAGCTGTGTTCACTTTTCTTTTCTTTGTCTATATTATATCATCACAATGTATGTGATATTACATATGATAATACTGAGTTATTGACCGGTGCTTCTAATCACAATTCTATTAGCATTGTTCTATTTTCAATTTTTTTACCCAAAGATTTATTTATTTCATGTGTGATTTAAGTGACTGTGAGCTGCTACACATCTGAGGAAAAAACACACAGTCTGGCAAACTGCATCACAGCAGACAGAAAGTAAAGACTGGATGATGTGAACTAGTGTTTAAAGGGCTATTCTGTGTTCCACTGCCATAAAGTTTTGGGTCTTGTTAGAGACAGACTTAGAAAAGAGTGGTTGTTGGATGCAGCAGAGGCCGAGATATCCTGGCTTTGAGTTCTTCATATGGGCCAAGATCCAAAAACACTGCATCCTAAACTTCCCATAATGCAACACAATAATGTCTTTCAGTAGAATGTCCCTGCTCTTCAGTGCTCCCACTTTGTAACGGGCTTTCTGTCTCTGAGCCCTGAGATAACCCTAATGACATCACCAGGGTTGTTTTTCCAGACCCCTGATGATGTTGATGTGTACAATTGGAGGAATGCCCCTTTAATTAGCTGTCACTGTTGGTGTGACATTCCACAGGCACAGCAGTTTATCAAAACTAAACACCTCCTCTCTCCCACACACACACACACACACACACACACACACACACACACACACACACACACACATATATACTGTCAACATGGGAAAAGTGGATTGGCCCCTCTGATGACATTGTGGCTGACCCTTCACCATGGCAACTGGAGCTCACCAGTGTGCGCTTCCCTCTCTCTTTCTCTCTCCCTCTCCTTTGCCCCAGAGGATCATGGGATTGAAGTGGCTTTAACTCTCAGGGCGAGTTGGGGGATTATGCTAATGAGAACCCTAACGAGCGCTGTTCACATACTCACACATGAAGGCAGATTCTGCTCTTCTGCAGCAGGAACAATCACTCATTCACCAGCTATTACATAACGCAACGCTCATGATCACCTCTGACCTTAAGTAAGAGTTAGAGTGTGTGTGTGTGTGTGTGTGTGTGTGTGTGTGTGTGTGTGTGTGTGTGTGTGTGTGTGTGTGTGTGTGTGTGTGTGTACTCTGTTTATCAGTTGACCACATAAGCTGATGGGTCTGATTTACCCACGCTGACATCGGTTGATTTGAGCTAAAACAGTACACAGATGTATCATAGCAGCTCAGCTCAGAACAATAACATAAACACTGCTGGACAAATAAAGTCGGTATCTTAAGAAATCTTTAAGTTGCATTAGTGGAAGTCCATTAAAATGCATTTGTGTTAAAAGCCTCTGGTAAAAACCATGACCACAGGCCTCTTGTGTTATTCAGCATATTGTCCAAAGCCACTTAGAGAGGCCTGAGGTGTATTTTTAGAAGAGCAGCTGCTAACCAATTGGATGCCAATTTCATCCATACATGAAGAAGTGACTCACACAGAGATTGGTGCACACTGCAGCTTAACTGTGTGTGTGTGTGTGTGTGTGTGTGTGTGCGTGTGTGGGCGCGGTTAATATTTCAACCAGTTTTCCACCGCGCACACACAGATTAGCGCTGACACTGAGCCTCAGCTTTAATAAGTGAGAGATTGAGAGTATGATTAAAGCTGCAGCACTGAGGCCTGCTGAGTGTAGGAGCTCTGCTGCCCTCTGCTGGACAACACAAACAGTCAGCCACAGAACTGACCACTAGGGGTGTCAGAACCTGGAGTTTTTGTAAAAGTAAGAGTTTTCTGCCTCCACCTGTTGTGCTGGTCAAAGTATGAAAAATTAGATTTTTTTTAGATTTCTATTCTATTTAGTTAATATTCTTATATTGTGCTTCTTATTGTACTTGTACACTCTGTACTCCTTGTACTACATTCCCTTATGCTGCTGTGTCTGACTTGAATTTCTCCTACAGGGATCAATAAAGGAACATCTTGTCTTCATCAGTTCAACAAAACAAAAAATAAAAAAACCTGACTGGATGAGTTGTTAATGTCCACTCAGGGTTCATTTCCTCACTTTATTCTGGAGCTTTCTCCTTGAGTCGTTTGTTTTATCAATAAGCAATACAGAGATTATTTCCTAATAAAGTTCCAGGACCAAATCTAACTATACAAGTCTGATTGAGCCCTTTTCATTGTCAGCCCAGCAGATACAGGATCTTTGAGACTGATACTGGTTTGTTTGTTTTAGCTTTTCTGTGTGGATTGTGCACTGATAGGACTGCTTTATTAAACAAATAATGGAATAAATACATTGTCAACCAATTCTAGTCGACATTGCTGAGAGCTGCTTCTTCTCGTTCTCTGTGCTGTTTGCCACAGTATTGTAAATCACAGCGCACTCTGCTGGAGAAACCCCTACATTCAATGTTAAAACCTCTTATATTATAATAATCTGCATTATACTCATTTTTTCGTTAAGAATGAAGGTTGTGAAAAATAACAACAAGAAGCATGTCTGTCCAATAACAGTGTCCCAGTGCTGTGGACAACCTATGATTGGACAGTGTGAACTGACCCTTTAATGTCCCTCAGTTTGGACGTTGTGCTCAGTGCTGTTTGTTCTGTTTGGCAGGCGGCAGCCGAGAGGAACCCCAAAGTGTCTGTGAGCTCGTCAGCCTCCAGTGCCTCTTCCAACGCCTCCCTGCCAGCAGCCACCAGCAGCTCCCCCCCTCCAGAGGTACGCCACATGTTCACTGCACGGAAACACTCCGAGATACACTACAGGACAAACGTCAACAGTGTGCATGTAGCTGTAAACGAGTGAATGTAAAAGGGTTATCTGTCTACAAACAGGTCTCTTTATCAGAAACAATGAGCAATACAAACAAAATAACATCAATTAAGACTAGAAAAGACGACAATAATACATAATCCAGGTCTGCTGGAGCAGTGTGATACCTCATGTCTCCTCTAAAATATCTTTGAATGTTGGACACAGTGAAAGACTTTAGAGTGCATTAAGCTGAGTTTCCTGGTGAGAGGAAACCGATTTCACTTAGAGCTGCAACTAACAATTATTTTCATTACTGATTCATCGTTTGCTCTAAAACCTCAGAACATAATGAAGAGTGTCCATCACAATTTCTCCCAGCACAATGTGAAAGCCAGTTGAGACGCTGGAACTAGTGAATGTGGCATATTTGCATATAATTATTAATTATTATCTGTCAGTTAACTAGTTGATGAATAGACTTCCAGCTCTAACCTCAATGAGAGGGTGTAAGGGTGTAATTATGTCTCCTTTCAGGAGGAGGGGGATGTCTTTATGATGATTCACGCTCTACAGGAGAGAGCAGTGACCAAGCTCAAGATATCCACATGAGGGAGGTTGGATTTTACTGACAGGTTATTGAAGGTCATTATATGAAATCCACTGCCACTAGATCTCGCACTAAAGCGCCGGCATCTCCAGCCAAAACAACGGGTGCTACACCCGACCAGACTCCATTTTACCATGGAAACCAGTGATTTTACCTTGCAGATAGTCAGTCATAAAACACACTTCAAACTGCACATAAAAAAAGTCTGTTGTTGGCAGTGCATGGGGAGTTTAGGAGTTAGTCAGGTGTTAGTCTTTCCACTGTTCCAACAATCACCAGCTCTGGTTTGATCAAAATAGATCCTTAATAAACTGATGTAGATGATAAAAACGCTTTCAGTCACTCTCCTGCAGGGACTCCTGCACTAACAGAGGCAGAGCGGGTCGTCCACCGCCGGAAGGTTGGCGATCGATCCTGACATTGCTCCCGATGCTGTGCGTGCGTGCGTGTGTGAATGATTAGTTTCCGTTCTGGTGAATTGTGTCCGGTGTCAGTGCCATCAATGTATGAATGTGTGTGGCGTGTAGTGTACAGCACATCGAAAAGACTAGAAAGGTGTATAAGTACAGTCCATTTACTATTTAACATGCCCACATGGCCAGCCTAGCTTTGTAAACAAACCACAGAGAGGCTCCGATAGCAACACAGGCAGAGGGACAGGTCTATGACTCCACTATATCTTTACATAGCAAATAGCTTGCTGCTGTATTAATGTTCTCATATGATCTTTAAAGTTTGTAAATCTACTGTATATAGTGTATTCATCCTCAAAACTATCTGACATGTAAGTCAAATGTATGGATTAGTCCTGATATTCTGAAAGGGCAACAATAATGTACTCTGTGTGTGTGTGCAGGTTGAGAGGGCCCCGGAGCCGGCCCCAGCAGCTGAAGGCCTGGGTCTGAGCATGTCACTGGCCCAGGCCAAAGAGAGAGCCCGTCAGAAACGAGCCGCCAAGAAAGCCCCGACCATGGACTGGAGCAAGAGAAACGAACTGTTCAGCAACTTGTAAACGACATCATCTTCATCTTCATCATCAGGTCCACCTCTCCCAGACCGCCTGTACCGCCCTGTGTCTGTCCTCTGGATTTAGTTTTTACGTTGCCACACTGAATGACAAAGACACAGTGTTCATTTAGAACATTAGAAACTCCCCTGTTAAACAGTATTATATGATGATTTTATTTGTTTTAATTTAGGGTCTTGCCACTTTTCTTTCATGTTTAAATGATGTTGGAGTCACACACAGGAATGAATGTTAATATATTAAAAAAGAATGTTAAAAAGAAAAAAAAAAAGTAATGTACAGTTTCTCACATTAAAAGGACCATGTAATGGGGCATAGGGAAATATAACCTATTGGCAGATCAACAGTTTAAATGAATGTCTGCAATCAGCAACTAGAATGAAAGGATCAACAATGCTGAATAACCATTCCATGACAATCTGTTTTCCTGTTGGGACACTGTTTGAGCAACATCAGCGTGTTAAAGTCTTAAGATGGTTGAAGGGACTCTAGTTATTGAGATGAAAGCTCTGGTAGCCTTACTGGAAACACTTCATGTCTGTCCAGTTGTCTTTCCCTCCGGGGTTTCTGTCATATATGATTCAAGGAAATTACAGATTATTTTCTTCATGTTGCTCGATAGAATTTGTACATACACGAATAAATGATTTTAAGAAGACATTTTATTTTGACTGACTGAGAGAAATTAAGCTCCTCGCTAAGTTGCGTTGATTCTGCTTGCAGGAATTTAAAGATGCACCGTTTGGTCCGAGTATCGACTACACTTGAGACGTTTATCATGTGAAAGTAAGCAGCTGTACTGATGTTGGCTCTGTGCTGTACAATGTATTGAGCTTGACAAATATAACATTTGGATCAAATGAAATTAAGTAAGTTGTAAAGTCTTCTTCTTTTTATTTTCCTCCAATCTTTCCTCTTGCATCTGCAGATTCATAAAGCTTCAGAGGAAATGGATGGAAAGCCAGGCAGGCCAAAAACTTGCACTCAATCATGTCTTTCCATTTGACCACATTAAAAACCCACCTTTGCTTTCCTCAGTACAAATTCTCCTTTTAATGATTTTCAGGATGATACAGAATTCAGTTGAAATATTAATAAAAAGTAACAGACAACCATCAGAATAGAACAGAGGAACCAATAGTGCTAAAACTCAGTTTGTCAATGTCAAAATGGTGTACACATCTAAATCTAAAAAACATGCCAACACCCTGATTTTGTAACAGTGAACCATAATCTCCTCCCTGCAAAACTTTGGGAAGAACTTTGAGTGCTGTTTAAAAAAAATCCGAGTGCATTTGTGAGGACAGATGTTGGTTGAAAGATGGCTTTTCTTTACTGGCCTCAAAAACAAGAAGATGGCTCACAAACATTCAACCACACAGTTAGTGCTTGGCATGGGTTAATGACAGTAAAAATAAAAGCATCTTTTTGTGCAGTGAATACTCTATAAGGTGTGTAAAGAAGGATAGAAATGAAAGGGCGCCCGGTTGGCTCGGTGGGTGGAGCTGGGGACCCATGTGCCGGGGCTGAGTCCTTGCTGCAGCGGCCCGGGTTCGGGTCCAGCCTGCGGCCCTTTGCTGCGTGTCATCCCTTCTCTCTACTCCCCTTTCCTGTCTATCTTCAGCTGTATCTATCAAATAAAGGCAATAAAAGGCCAAAAAAATAACTTAAAAAAAAAAAAAGGATAGAAATGAAAGTGAAGAAGTAAAATGTAACAAATTCAGAGTTTTGGGGACAAGTTGAGGGACAATAAGAAAACAACAGTTCCTTAACTGTAAACTCAACTTACAGTCCCTTTGAAACAGAAACCGGCTGTAACACTGATGATCCTGAATAACTCTCCTGTTAACTCGGTTTATCGATCCAACTTGTGCACGTGGAAGACGCTGGGTTTGCCGATCACATATTCAGAGACGGAATGAAACTGTTGGCAAATTCATTCAAATTCATTCATTCATTCCAACAGTAAAAAGTTATTATTCAATTATGTAAAAAAAGGGACAAAGCCACAGTTAACCCCAAAATTAGCTGGAGGTCCCTGTTGCTCTACGGAGTCTGGAGTGCGCCGGAATAATTTAACTGATGCTTTGTAAAACTTATAAAATAAAAAGACAATTAATAATTCTATTTTCTCTAATTCTGTCTCTTAATGACCAATAATATTAAGTAAATACAACAGTTACAATTTTAATTGAATGATTGCATCAGTTTAAAGATGACTCTTTTAATTAAAGACATGTAAGCAGCGAGTCCAACCAACAGCTGGATCTCTGACTGGCCAGCTGGTATATGTTGGCAGAAGTGTAGCCAATCACAGCTCCTTTTAGGGGACACACTGCTCACATGTCTTTAAATGCAAGCAATCACACAATGGAAATGTTAAAACTGAGGGCTCCAGCATACACACTGCACACACTGCACACACTGCGAACCGAGCTTGGGAACCCATGAGCCAATCATCAAGGAGCAGCACGCAATTAGTGCAGCCACAGACCTCGATGTTTCAGAGAGGAGGCACATGCTGGGTTTTACTTTTACTTTTAGAATGTGTTGTTTAAATGTTATTGTAATTCATAGATTTACAAAAGCATTTTCAAAATGTTCTATTAATTGATTCTAATTAAACATCTAAACATCTTTAATTGTTCCAGTGGCAGACTCCAGACTCTTCACTGTCAGAGACTCCTCTATACAGTCTACTCTCTTACAGTGTTCAGTCACTTTGAAATAATGAACTAGGATCTTTCAGAAGGACCTTACTTGAAATGCTTTGTAATAGACCACGGTTGAAATGTTCAAAAGCATCTCCCATTCTTTGGAAAAAAAACCCTTACAGTAAATTCACTTCATAGCACCCTGAGGCGAGCTGTAAAACCTTCCAAACTGTGAGTGGGAGGTGGTCTGAGCTCAATAATGCTTTAAAGAAAGGATGTTACCCCTTAATGTGCCTCCTGAAGAGGATAAAAGACTTTGGTAAAAACATGTAAAATCAGATCTAGTACATACAGTACATATGGAATATGCTGCTTTTAATACAATAAACAATATTTTCCCCACGTTTTAGACAATAAGCAGCAAAATATATAACACAGTAATGCTAATATACACTAGAATGATTCAACCAGTCAATAAGAACTCCATTTGTTAAAAAACAAACATATAGAAGTATAAATATACTCAGTATAAAGATATCTGACTACACACATACACAGTGCCACCATAGACTTGTCTATACATTTACAGGTAACATGAACAAAATGGACCCTCATTCCCTTTAGTGATAATATGCTGAACACACACAGAGACATCTGGCAGCTGCTGTTTGTTGCTCCAATAACATTCCCAGGTGTGTGTCCTAAGGCGAAGTGCTCGCGTTGATAAACTGGGCAATATTGAGGAAAAGTTGTGCAGGAAATCCTCCAATGTGCACTTACTGAGTCATCCAGAGTCCAGAGGAGGTGCCGAGCCCTCCGCTGTCTCTGTTCTCACCAACATCAAAGGTTCATCTCTCCTGTTCGCTGGCTTCTCTCCATTTTTTTTTGTCTGTCGCTGTCTTAAGAGAGGAACTCTGTCCATGTGAGTTTCAGGATGTCACTCCAACATAGCGTCCAGCTGGTCAGCCAGGTCATCAAACATGTTGCCGATGTCATCCAGAATGTTTCCTGCTGCCTTCACTGTGCTGCTGCCACTGGGAAACAGACAGACGGTGTTACAGGCCTAACCAGACAGTATGGAGTCACAAACAAGTCATGTAGTGCTTTGTTTTTTTCCTTCAGTAGAACTTTTTCACAGCAGCCATTTGGACATGAAATAGTAGGGTAAACACTGCTGTTACCAATGATACTAATGGACGCTTCGTAAGTCCTGTCCCTTTTGGCTCTGGGCTCCAGTAACAGTTGAGCTCCTGTAGACTGTCTATGTTGAAAAGACAACCAAACTCTGATGATGGTTAAGAGATAAAAGTTAGCTAATGTTAGCAAAATGCTAGTAAACTAACTAGCTAATGTACATTATCATTAGCTACATCTGACAGCTAATGTTAGCAAAACGCTTGCTACCTAGCTAATTCAACCAATTGTCAGTTAGCCAGTGTATTGGTAACATTACCTAACTTAAGATGTGTCACTTTTATCTTTTACAGTAAAGGAAAGGAGAGAGTTCACCGAGGTTCCGACTGATATTGACACACAGTCCAAAAAGGGGCGGGACTAAGGAATCAATTATAGATCTGCAACTAACTATTATTGTCATTACTGATTAATCTGATGACCATTTTCTTGATTGATTCATTAGTTATTTGGTCCATAACATGTCAGATTGTGAAAAATGATAAAATAATAACCCAAAGATATTCAGTTTACTGTCAAAGATGACTAAATATTCACATTGGAGAAGCTGAAATCAGAGAATTTGGACATTTTTAATTAAACAATTAAATATTGGTGATGGTTTTAATAGTTGATAACTAAACAACTAATGGTTGCAGCTCTATTCAGTTATGATAACATACTAACTGCATTAAGTACAGTGTTACAGTGCTGAGACGAGGGTACATGAACATCGCGACAAAAAAGTCTGACAAGCAGTCAGTCCATCTGACGGTTGGTTTTGTTGAAACCGACCTGCAATGTTTTGTTTTGTTTATAATGAGCTACATGAAGAGATGTAATACCTCTTCCATATATTGTATATTAAGTGTGAAAGGAAATTTTGTAGCTCACACAACCGTACACTCGTGTTACATCAGTAATCCTTACCCGTCCACGCTGCTGCCCTGCGCCAGTTTGTTCTCCACCACTTTGAGAGCAGCCTCCAGTGACGTACTGGTTTGCTCCAGCCTCTTCTGAGCCAACACCTCCAGACCGGCTATGCCAACCAGGGGTGTCCCCACTTTCCCTGCCTGACACAGTGGTGCCGAGGTGGGGTGTGAAGGGGAAAGAGCCGGAGAGGATGGAGCAGCAAATGCGACACTCTGGACCGCAGTGAGGTTGGCTCCTGGGGGACAAGAAGTGTGGATTCATCCATCATCCAAAAGAAACTAAAACATCTTGAAGCAGTTTTGGCTAAAACATTATTCATTAATGATGCAGATATTGTCACAAAATTAGTTTTTTGGTCAGCGTTACCTGCTGTTGATGCCGAGGCCATGCCGGGCTGAGGGAGTCTTGGTACAGACAAACCAGCAGTTTTCTGTGGACTCTCTGGCTTGGACGTCTGTGGGTGTTTGACAGGTTGGGGGCTGGGTAAACATGTCTGTGTGTGTATGCTGCCACCAAGCTTTGGGGAGACTGTGTGAATCTGTACGCTGGTTAGTTTAGGAATGGCTGTTTGTGCACTGGCTTGACCTGAAGACATTGTTTTCTGGGGGGTTGTTGGTTTGCTGTGAGGGGGTTGTTTGAGAGGACTGCAGGGTTTCGAGGACACCAGAGGCTTCGGGCCTTTTCCCATGGAGCCTACTCTCTGGAACACATTCCCCGGTCGCTGAGATTCATCGTCGCTCACCGTGCTGATGTCATTACGTGTGTGGAGGCTGTCGTCTCTGTTGGGGTTGGTAGCCTCCTCAGGTGTCGACGACTCTTTGGGTTTGTGCCGTCTTTTCACTGTGTCAGACTCTTTCAGGTTGAACTCTGGGAGCTCCAGGCTGTTCGGGGTCTGGACTGGACCCTCTGGAGGAGCCTTGTCTTCAGTGTCCGTTCGGGGGGACAACTGCTATCCTGGGCCGCTGTTTGATAGTGAGGTTGCCCTCCTCAGCGAAAGGGAGGTGGTCGGCGCTGTGCTTTGGAGATGCAGTAACGCTCTCTGATGTTCTTTCATTTTTCCTTGCTTTCTCCTCAAGAGTTCCTTCTGCGCCTCCACCTCTCTGTCTGTCAGTGTCCACTTCTGTCCTCTCGCTTCCTGTCCTCCTCAAGCCCGCCAGGCCCAGAGCAGGGACGGGTTTGGAATGCTGTACGATGATGTGAGGACTCATCCCATGTGGAATCGGGGAGGAAACGGGGCTGAAAACAGGTGAAACATGGATGTGAGTTGGTGGTATATCGATCCTCCTGGATGGACTGCTGCTGCTGCTGCTTCCCTCTAGTCTGGCTGTGATGCTCCTCACACTGCCTGTGCTCTCTGTCTCCACCCCTCCCTTCACCTCTGGCTCCACCACTTTTCCGTTTCCCGGCTGGCGTACTGGGCTGCCACTCACCGAGCTCATCCTTTTGGGAGGTGGTGGGGGCGGGCCCTTGCGTCGTGACCGCACAGCAAACGAGTGGCTGCGGTTGATGTGGCGTTGGGCCCCTGTGGCGCTTGTGTGCCCGCGTCCCGGCCTGCGCGACAGGGTGGCGTAAGAGGGCATGGCCATGGAGGAAGAAGAGGTGCAGGAGGGAGTGAGGTCATCGTCTTCATCCGGTTCACCGTCGGACAGAGCGTAGCGAGTCAGGCTTTGGGCACGCTTCTTGTGCAGGCCCTTTTGGGCTTCAACAGCTGGGCCCTGTCCCGGCCGGGGTCCCAGCAGAGGGACCGCACCAGGCAGAGGCTTGGAGAGCCCCCATGGAGCCCCGTTGACCCCTCCTGCCTGGGCGTTGAGGTAACTAAAGGCCTTCTGTGTGGGGGAAGGCTGTGGGGATGGAGAGGAAGGGGAGGAGGGCGGGTGGTGCTGAGGCTGATAGAGGCGGTTAGGGGACTGCTGCATGTGTTTGGCCTTGGGTGGGACAGCTGGGTGAGCAAAGCGAGGCATCTTGCTGGGGGTTAGCGGAGGTGTTAGGGGGGAGAAGGGGAGTTTGTTGGGGGTAGCAGACCGACTCTGCGGCTCCCACATGTCTGTGGGTCTCTGTCTACCTCTGCCTCCAGGACTGCTCCCTCCACGCTTGGCCTCCTCAGCCACACCACTCCCCAGACTCTCCTCTGACCGGCTGGAAGTCCTGGTCGAAGATGGCGCGGCTTGGGGGTCATGAGAATATCCCGAATTTGAATTTCCAGAATTCCCAGAGTTCCCTGATCCCCGCGATCTCATGCTAATGCTCTCCTGACTGACTGACATGGCTGTCACAGGTGTTACGCCCCTGATGCCAAACGCCTCGGCAGCTCCTCCTGCCCTGCCCATCATGGCGCTCTGCAGCTCAGCGCTCAACTCGCTGTCCTGGAAGGAGAGGAGGGTCTTGGGGGTGCGTGGGGAGGGGCAGCAGTCGTCAGAAGGAATGTCAGAGCGAGTGTGAGCATGCACGTTGTGTGTTGGCGTGTGTTCGATAGCCACAAGCTCCAGGGCGGCGGGGGGCTTCCGCCGGAGAGTCCCACCTCCAGCTCTGTCGGCATGGTTACGAGAGCGCTGCAGGTCACAGAGTCTTTTCACTGCTAACATTAGCTTCTTCTGATGGCCTGAAATAGAGATAGCATCGTTACAATCTCCTGACCGAAGTACACGCAGCAGTAGACTTATGCAGAACAGCGCCCTCTGTGGGCGAATGAATGAATGTGAATGTTCCTTCATGACCTCGAAAACAGTAGTTAAACAAAAAAAATCTTTACTCGCTTGCTTTTTCTGGAGCTTTCAACTACATATAAGGGTCTTCCTCACCATATTTTTCAAACATGTTTTACACCTTGTGATGCAACCATTAAAATCATCATCTGACACACATATCCAACCATCTGTGCCTATTGTCAAGCATAACTAGATATCTTGTATACAGTGCATGAGGGTGAAGAGTAAACTGTCAAAAAGGGAAGAGAGCACCAACTCTACATCGAATTTCAAAGAAATCTGGTGTCATTCCTCACCCAGTTTGGTGATGCCTATCTCCTGCAGGTCCTCCCAGGTGATGTCTTTGACAATAGTGATGGAGTCGTAGCCATTGTCACACAATCTCTTCTGGTATTGAGGCAGTCCAATCACACTCAACCACTCCCCCAGGTCCGACTGAGCAGCAACAAACACAGACAGGACAGGGGCAATGAGTCAAAGAATTCACATAATTCATGAGTCATAATCATTTGGATGCTTATCTAATTACAAGTAGCAGTTTTAATTGTGTGACCGTGATGGCACACCCAGTTAGATACTAGTGGTATTGCAAGAAAGCCAAGAGAAGTAACTGCATTTCATCAATGTTACAACATGCGAGTGGGACATCAGAGGGGTTTTCTCACAGGAATGTAGTCAGGCAGCCACTCTGGGATGCTCAGCTTGCTAATCTCCATTGAGATCTTCTTTCGGTGGCCTGGTTTGGTCACTCCGATGGCTGTCAGGTCCTGAAGAGCAAAACACATGTAAGCAGCCAGTGAATCAACGGCAAGAGAGGAGACTTCATCATTCAAATATTGACGATTCACATGTATTAAGGATAGTCATGCCAACTCAGTTTAATTTTAACCATTACAACACAGCACTCAGTGTTCCTGGTGAGCCTCCTTTGCTGCATACTGGATCATATGCTAACACATCACAAAGATGCCACATTTTCAGGTCAGTTTCTCCTTAGTAAATTAAAACTGACAAGAAAATGCAGCACACGTAAGAAACTGCAAGAAAATATCAATACATTTGAGTATGACGATATTTTGTTTTGTGATAGCAGTGCTGTAAACTGAGGGCTATGATGTTGGAGGTTACAGGGACTGTGATAAATAAAAGTCCGATTTGATGTGTGTTATTTATACTATGAAAGATTTCCTAAATTTTTTTTTTTTTAAATCGCAATTTATTGAATCATAACCCTGTATCATGATACGTAACGTATCACCAGATTGTTGCCAATACAGTCATAAAAAAACTATGGAGCTAGAAGTTGGAAAGAAAAGGGCAACAGAGAGGAGTGTGATAGCTGAGAGTGCTCAACACACAGCAACTGAAGAAAACTTGAGTAAAAGCTTATTGCTACTGTAGGTGTATTTTACTGTCAATAATATCAGAACTATGCAATGAGATTGTTTTAGGGTTCTCTGGAAATTTCCATTGTTCCCTACAACTTGCAGCATTTCTGTATTTGCAAATGTGTCTGTGCTGCACATGTGCTGTCAGATTAGTACATGTGTTTCTCAATTCAGATTTTATTTACTGACAAATCTTTAAATACAATAAATATATGAAAATGAGTTGTGATATCCTGGTAAAAAATACTTACAGAAACCAAAACCATCACTCAGTAGCCTCTATCTTACATATTTTGTTTAAATGTATTATAAATAAAATATATATTATAGAAATGCTAATTGCAACACACAGACGCATACACACATACCTCAGGGGTCATCCTGCTGATGGTGGGTACATCATACCCTGCGGTGATGAAGTTGGATGTGTACTGCTCCAACTGGAACTCACACAACCACTGGTAGATGGCCTCAGAGTCCTAACAGAGGGGGGGGTGTTTACTGTATGAGGCTTTTCTCTCACACGCACGCACGCACGCACACACACACACACACACTCACTCACACTCACAGTACTCATCTCACCTTGCCCTCCATAAGATGTTCTGGTCTCATGAAGCCTTTCTGAGGAGTGCCGTTGACCTGACGACGGGAACCACCTAAAAAACACACACAGCCGATCAATTGTACAGGACGACAACCTCCACCTGCCTTACTCTGAGACAAAGACAGCACAAAGACTCAACAGTAACAAGCTCCTGGTAAGTGAATCAAAGCTGTATGTAAAACAATGCTGAAAATAAACAAGTGATTAGTTACTAATATAATGTACGTTAATCTCAGTGAGTTCAGTCATGTTGAATCAGTGTCCCCCGTGCAGCTGTCTGGGTGAGGGGGGTTGTTGTTGGCTCTCACTCCAGGTGAGTAAAGGTGTGTTATCTACCTGATCTGAAAACCCACTGAACACACTCGTGACTCATCTCTCTTTCAGTCGTGACACATTACCACAGATCTCTGAGGAATGCACCTTTCCTCCCATTTTCTCCATCGTCGCCTCTCTTTCGCCCGAGGCCAGCGCTTTTGATCGCTCCCTCGCTTTCTTTATGCTCTTTCTGTCATCCTTCCTGACAGGATTCATCTACCTTTTAACTATCAGTTTGCAATAACCCTTATCCATAAAGCACCTTTCTAAACATGCATACACTTGAAGTTGGAGCAAGTGGTGGAAGAGATAGACAAGCAAGGTCAAAGAGGTCAAGATCAAATGATAACAAAAAAAGGTTTTTTTAAGGGTCAGTTCACCCAAATTATAATCAATAAAACGGTAACTTTTTAGTGGTATCTTGCCATGCACATTTTGGTTTTATTAGTCCAGTTAGAGATATCTTTCTTTGAGATTTCTGCCTCCACCTTAATACAATACTGAAACCTACTTTGCATGGCTGGATATGACTGGAGGTCTGTCAGATAATCTGATCTTTTGTACACTTAGAGGAGACATTTGAAAGCCAATGGATATTTTTAGCCCAAGGTGCTTGATTAAAGACATAAGTCATCATTTGTGGTTTACACTTATTTGCTTTCTTTCTGTTACATGGGAAGATTAATACTCTCATGTCTATACATTAAATACAAAATTTGAGCCAGGAAGCTTAGCTTAGCATAAAGACTAGAAGCAGGGAGGAAACACAGTTAGCCTGTTTCTGTCCAAAGTTCTGTGTGGTTGTTCATTTTGATCTTTACCTAGAAAGCCCTGCAAACCACCAGCATCTGACTGTTACTAGCTGTGCGTGAGGAGTTTTGTTCACTAGATACACAACCAACATGTCTAGGGCTCACAAAGTTGTGTCTAAGTGTAAAAATAAGATGTATTTTTGCATATTTTTGATTTGGTTGTTCTGATTGGTTGAAGTTTGCCCATAATAGACTTTGATAAGTATTTTTGAATATATTTTTTGTTTCCAGCGAGGATGTCACAGATGGTTCTGTGTAACAAACCAGTCAGGTATGACTATGCTATGCTAGGCAGTGTTTGTCGGTTAATCTGAGAGTTTAGCAAAGAACCTCAGGGTTTTTTTTAGCCCCGACACATTCCGCTTCTGTGCTGCTTTTCTTTCTGTATTTCCTTGGCTGTTTTTTTTAGCACTATATTTCTCTTCTGTGTTGACGGTCAGGGGCCCTGCTCTCCCTAGAGAGAAAGACAGCCTAATAGAAAGGTATTTGGCCTCAGGGCAACAGTCAAAACTCCATTGACTTTTAGATTGAGAGAACCAAATTAGAGAGATTGTTTGATGGTCTTGTTTATTCTCTGCACCCCAATAACAGGAGCGAAGAATTATTTGATTGAACAGTATCAATCAGGAGCATTTTCTCTGGCTTTATTTATATGTCTCACTACCTCCACATCACAATCTCAATAAATAAAGGTGAGTAGATTCCTCTGGTCACATTTAACAACCGAACCTAGCGACAGATATGACCTAAAATATGAATAAATGCTTGATCCGAGACAAAACATCAAATCCATACATGACTTCTTACCCTTCAGGAGGAACGAGAGCGGCAGACCACCTGATGTTTGGCACTTCATCCTTCCTTCTGCCTATCCTTCATGCAGAGCGGACATTACTTCAAGCCAACTGATCTGTTCCCCCTCCTCGTCTTTCTCCTTCATTTAACAAATATGTTTTGCTCTCTCTGTTCCTGTCTCCTCCCTCTGACCCCTCCCTCCCATTCCTCATTTCTCTTTTCTTCACTTTAACCCTGCTTCCTATTCAGCCTGAGGTCAACAGAGATCCTCTGCTTCTACTAACATGTCACTCTTTGACCTTTTTAAAGAGCCTCCCCAGTAGAGAAAGCTTAGGTCCAGAGAATAGCTGCACTTTCCTATGATATTTCTGCACCTGTCGGTCAGATCTAATGGCGTGCATGCACAAAGACACATCATTCCTGCCTTTAGTGTTTCCTTAGAGAGCTGATCGGGTGCTTTTATGGGCTGTGTGGTTGAGAGTAGATTGTGGTTTTATTGGTTTTTGTGGTGAGGTGAGGCAAGTCTTTTCTCCCTCCTTCCATCTCATTTCCTTTCAGACAGACCGCAATAACAGCTCAATCTGCAGAACAAAAGCACTAATGCTACGTTTATCTTTAATCGCATTCCTCTGGTATAAGTAGGTACAACCATGTTTACAGTGTTACAGTAGTGGTATCTAGGGCTTTGATGCTGTTTACAAAGCTATATACCTGGCAAATAATGTGATTTTAGTTAGGTTTGCTCTCTGGCTTGGATTTCAAGACTGGGCAAAAACATTTGAATACCCCAAAATAAAAATGACAAGTATGACAGATTATTAGGACTTGGCTTAGGACAAAACATCCAAAATTTAAGTAAAAATATTTAAAGGAAAAAGTTAATAGAAATATCTTGGAATATTTAGAAAAAGTCATAATATAATGAGAAAATCTGTAATACTTTGAGAATAAAGTTAAACATATATGATAAAAAGTCAAAACATTCAATAAAAAATGTGTAATACTTAAAAAAGACAAAGAAATCTTCAACACTTAACTTAACAATACTAAAAAGTCTGTAATACTTTTTCAAAATAAAGTAAAATATTTAAAAGAAAAACCTGTATTCATCCTGTATATCAAGTCAAACATTTACCAGATAAGGGCATTATGTTAAAAATTAAAAATTAAAATTTAAGTGCTATTATTTCAAGAGATTTGAGTGCTTTGTCAACAGATGAGAAAACAGGTGAAAGCAGTCGGTCACCTTTTATGTGTCAAATGAGGGATGTGACCAGATGACCAGAATTGATAACAAAGCATCTTCTGAGCATATATTTTAAGATATATAAAATAAATTACGTAATGTACATAACTGGACATGTTTTGCAGCTAAAGCACAGCAGGGAGGGTGTTTTTTTCAGACAGCTGTGTCAAAGACTGCAGAGATCAAAAGCCAAGCTTGTGGCATCAGAACAGGATTAAAGCTTCATGACTCTGATGATATGAAAGGGAAGAGCCAGAAGCTACTGAGGGAGTGTCTGTGGCTGTGTGCTGCACTTTATCTGAGGAGGTGGGAAAGTAAACCAACCAATGCCTTCCAGACCTTTGTAAATGTGCAGCTCAAAGCTGCTTTCCTGAGCTTTTCAATGGATGTGATAAGACAGTTGCCAACATGGCTAACAGGCACCTGTCGCAGAATTATAATGCTGAGTGATCATAACATATAACCTAAGTTGTTCTCAAAGCAGCATTTTATTGTGATATTGACTTTATTCTCATAATATTATGACTTTCTCAACTTTTTACTCAAAATCTCAGATTGTTTTTTATAGGAAGCAGCAGACATGAAGAGAACACTTACTATTAGAATTAACAGTAATATTATTAAACCCAGGAAGAAGACGTACAATGTTCTATTCCCTGACTAACCTGTGGTTCCGTCTGCCTGTTTGCTGTGGTCTGCTACTGCAATGTGGAGATGGTCTCCTGATTCACCAGCAGAGGGACCCAGCTGCACACAAAAAAAACACGAATAAGTACGCACTGAAGAACACCTCTGAATGTCTTGAATTACTGAGATGCACTGCAGACAATATCCACCATAGCAACTCAGATAACCTTGTATTAAAATGAAACAAGAAAGATAGAATGGCAATGTGTGTGAGCAGAAAGCTGCTGTATTCCGGCATGTTTTAAGATATCTCAAATAGGTACTTTATAAACTGCATCGGAAGACTTGGTAAAGTTTTTACAAATCAAGATTTGTAATGATCCTACATACAATTTGCATGTAATGTCATTGCTCTTTCTAAGCAGATCTAACCTTGCCAGTTTCAGTATTGTGACGAGTCCCATTCTGTTTGTGGCTACTCTCTGAGCTCTGGCCGCTACCAGCGCTGCGGCTGCTGCCCACACTGCCAGCACTGCCAACACTGTTCCTGTCACCTGAGAGACAAACAAAGAGAAACAAAAAGGGAAAAAAGAGAAACAGAAAGCAGAGAGAGGGAGATTACAGTGTAAAATGAGACTTCTGAGAGAATCTGAGAGTTACGAAATCAGGAAAGAAAGCAAGTTTGTAGGGTGTAATTTGTAGGTAAAGGTATGTGGTCAGACTGCACTGCAAAAAACAAAATACAATTTTAATAACAAGTCATTTGCAAGTCCTATTCACCCTTAAAGGATTAGTCTGACAATTAGGAAATACACTAAGCGCTTAGCTTAGCATTAAGACTGGGAACAGGAGAAACACCTCTGTCCAAGTTAAAATAATAGGCCTATCAACAAGTCAAAAGCTCCCTAACTGTATAACCTTTGTTCAACCAATACATTGACTGAAATTAGATTGCACAACTATTTCCTGATTAAGTTTATTCATATCCCAGCTAAAAGTTTCAACATGCAACTCTCCCTAAAACTGGAAAATGCCATATTTACATTTGTGTTAGTCTACAGTTTAAACAAGATACAACTTGTTAATTAGTGAACTTTTATGCTAAGCTAGGGTAATCACCTGCCGGCTCTGGCTCCATTTAACACACAGACATGAGACTGACACCAATCCTCTCATCTAACTCTCGAAAAGAGTGCGATGTCAAAATATAAAAATGATTCTTTAAAATGTTTAATAATTTCAGGAATGAAAAGGAAGAATTAATGGCATTATCTCTCTACATATGAAAAACACTAAAAATTTACAACAACAATAACAACAACTAGATGAAATGACTTGGTAAGATCATTGCTTTTCAGTTTTCTGCCGTGCAGGTTTTTTAGGATGGAGGAAGTTGCACCAGCAAGCTGCAAAAAACCTGGGACACCAGTCAGGAGGAACACAGGAGTCAAAGAAGAGGCTCTGAAGGAGTGCTTCTCACTTACCATTATATCCCGCTGCAAGACAAATATGTTTGGGGTTACTGGATTATTGTGGGTGGCAGTGGGGGTGCATGGGATTTGCAGGCTGGAATGGTAAGGTGAAGACTTTGAAATATAAAGGGATATATATGGGAATAAGCTTCCTTAAAGCTGCACAGTTTATCAGAATGGCTGGGATGGGATCTGGTCTATAAGTTCACACAGGGTCGATGGGGGCAGGGGTTTGGGACCACACACCCTTACCAGTGGGAGAGCTCCTGAGGACCCAAATGTCCTGAGTGGGGCTAGCAGGATTAGCTGGGGCTGAGAGCTGACTGTCAGGTGGAGCACCTAACAAACACACACACACACTTTAGGCACAGACTCACTGTATACACCCAACACACTGTAGCTGGGAGAGGACCTATTGAGCTGACACTGAGCACCAGAGGACTGATCGAGAGGAGACTGGGATCAGGGTGCTGTTTGGGAGGGAAATGGGAAACCTGGGAACATGGACGGAGGAGGAGGAGACAACAGGCCCCTGGGCACAGAGATGTAAAAGGCCCCCAACGAGACAGAAAATTACAATAACAACAATGCGACTGTGTTATTTGTGGTTGTTTTGTGTCTCTTAGCGGTTGTTTGGTTTGTTTTTGTGGTTGTTGTTTCTTCTCTTTGTGGCTTTTTTGTTTGTTTTTCTAGTCATTTTGTGTCTTTTTGTGTTCTTACTATGTGTCTTATTTTGTGTCTCTGTGGTCGCTTTATATCTCTTATTGGTTGTTTTGCCTTTCTTTGAGCTTGTTCTGTTTGTGTTGTTGTATTTCTCTCTCTTTAGAGTTGTTTTGCATCTTTTTGTATTTGATTGATGTTCCAACAAGAAACCAGTCAATTCAAACAGAGGCCCTGGCCCAGGTGCCCCCTGACCCTGCCTGGGTATCTGGGCCCAGTAGGCCTGTTCAGTAATCCATCCTTACCTAGGAAGTCATGAAGGTGGTAAACAAAAACCAAACAGATGGGAGGAAGTTGGTGAGTGTGTGTATGTACCTGTGGGATCATAGCCAAGGGTATATGAGTCGTCATTCTGAGGGCCGAGGCCGTGGCTTGAGGGAGGAGCTCTGGATGCAAAGTGCTGTCGTTTGCAAGGCATTGAGGCTTGGCGGGAGAGGGTGCCCCCTAGGGTCATGGAGACAGGTTTGGGTTGAGGCTGGCATGCATGAGTGAGGGAAATCAGTTCATGTACATGCATGTGTGTGTCAGTTTGAACTGCATGCACAGGTATGGGAACAGTAAGACTGCAACAAAAACTACCTTTTGAAGTCTTGTGATCACATTATGAACATTATCATTATTCATGTTCATTGAGTATATGGGACAACAGCTGAAAAAGGGCAAATTCACTGTAAATCCCTTCTGGTGTTACGTAAGAGGCTGCTGAATGGGAGTGTAAGATCACCAGCGACGCTGAGAGGGCTTACTTTTCCTTTGTGTGTTGTTGGTCCATGGTTGCTGACACCATTGACATTATCACAGAGCTCAAGCACACACACACACACGCTGAGTTTGCCTCATAAGCAAAGAGCCTGTCACCGACTTAAAGTCAAACTCTCGTTCTCTTGTCTCTTCTCGCTCAAGCATGAGCAGACACACACACACACACACACACACACACACACACACACACACACACACACACACACACACACAGACACACAGACACACAGTACACAATATCCCAGCGTAGACTGTGAGGGCTTTAGCACTGAGCTGACACTTTGCAATCTGGCCATAGTAATCCTATTAATGTGTGTCTCTGAGTATCTACGTTTGTGTGTGTATGTGTGTGTGCTGCCTGGCTTGTTGAGGACCTAGAAATGAAGTGTTTTAGCTTGGTGTGTGTGCGTCTGTGTCTGTTGCTGTTATTGGACTCCTCACTGCGCTTGTCTCACTGTTAAATGTCAATGGCTTTACAGCTGCAAAACAAGTATAGGGATCATATTCCTTTTATTCACAGGGATTAAATCCCATGATTTACATGTATGCTGAACCCTCCAGTGATCATGCATGCCAACATGACAGATCCTGCTGAAGTACAAGTGTCGAGATATATTCTTAGCCCAGATATAACCATGGCCCTGGGTTAGGTTGGCCCTTTTAACAACCCTCTGTCAGCTCAAGCCCCCAGAGTATGAGGTCTAATCGGTCTGAGAATGATACAGTAAACATTTATTCTTGCTGGACCCGCCACTCCCACATACCACCCTCTTTCACTGTGTATGACAACCAGTACTCCTATGCTGCAATAACATGGTTGTTGGTCATTTGATTTAACGCTACTTGGGAATATTGATAGTGTACTGGTGTAAATTCTTAAAAAAAAAAGAGCAAATAGTTAAATTACCAAAAACAATTCATTTTTATTGAATCTGCTGTCTTTAGGGACCCATTTGCCTGGTTGACGCGGACAGGACGGTTAAGTTAAAGTGAACATTAAGTCGCCAGGTATGTTTAAATATGCTTATAATGCACAGGCTTTAGAGTGTCTTCAGTAGTGGAAGAAGTTTTCAAAATGTACCTTATAAAAAGTGGCCATACATAAATAAAGTAAAACGGTGCATTCAACATTTTATGTAAAAGTACAGAACTATTTAAAAAGTAAATTTGCTAATTATGCTGAGCGGCCCCTTTCAGAGTGTTAAATTATCATATACTGCATTACATTATTATTATTACTGACTGCATTCATGAACACATAAGCAGCATTTACTGTTGAACAAATTCCATCCACTGATTTATTTTCACATCGTTTTCAAATTTTATATTTATATCATTATAAGAATTGTAGGTAAAATCTTAATCTGCAAAGTACTACTACTGACTATAAGTGTAACTTAAAGTATGGAGTAAAAAGTACAATGTTTCATTCTACAAGGTAGGCATGAAAGTGGCAAGAAGAGAAAATATTCAATATCAAGTAAAGTTTAAAATATTCAAGTAAAGTACCTCAGTGCTGTACTTTTCACCACCGAGTGTCTTTGAGTTTATGCAGAGGTGTGCTCGTTTGCCTACCTGCTCGTCTGCTGAGGACCTCCACCACTGAAGGGGGGAAGAAGCCCACCCGGTCCGTCCCCCGCTGGGTGTCATGGATGTGACCTTTCCAGCGGCCGTCTGAGTGCTGCTCCAGGACCTGACACCAAGAAATCATGGGCACGCTTCAGCTGCAATGTTTGTGTCACTGCAAACAGCATTAGCCTCGCAACGATTCACAATCACATTAGACTAGACGGCGGAAAGTAAACAATCACTAACAAATGATTCAATGATGTGAAGACTGAGGTTTGATTAAAGCTAAATATAAAAAAAGTGGAACATTTGGAACTTTGTAGGGGTCGCTTTCCAAACATTCTGCCTTGTCAACTGTAGATCAACTCTAAGTAAGCATGTCGTGTGTGACTCCTCCAGGCATGCTTTTAAGACCATAATTAGAGAGCCAATGAGCTGGAAATACACAGTCTATTCATTGTGAGTGTTAACAAAATGCCCGGAGAGGACAAAAACAAACACCTCTGCCGTCTGTCAGGATACCACACAACAGCATACGAGTCCATACAGGAGTCTGTGATGTCACATGGACTTGTATAAAGATATCAAAATACGCAGAAGTAAGTGCATAAACACACGCAAATGTGCACACACATGAATTAGTGCAAACAGTGTGTGAGGGGGAAAGAGCAAACAAGCTGGTAATGAGAGAGTGACAGAAGCAAGTTTGTGCCTGTTTATCTACTGTGGTCTCCCGCTCAGGGTACACTAAATTACCCTGCAACATCCCACACAAATCCTAACAACAAGACTTTACTCACAGAAGTCTTTATCATATAATCCTTACACTGCCTGTGGTTCCCCTGCCAATGACAAGGCAGAGTGAAACAGCTGCCAGCAGGTATAACATGAAGTTCAGTTCAATCAATTTTGCAGGAGCTCTGTTCTATGGAAATATATCATGGTACACCTGGATATGACCAGTATTACAGGAATTCCAGTAACCAAGCCTTCACTTGGGAAACTAAAGGAGAATATCTTATGTTAAATGAGATTTCTTAATCTGAACCAGAAACGTTTTTTGAGGTGTTCCTGGGGTGTTTCAGCCATCTCGCTGAACAGATGAACTACTATTTTTACTAAAGTATCAATCCACACCAACTCCCAAAGGTATGAATGTGTGTGACTTGAATGTAGAAACAACAATTCCTGAGAACTTCACACTTCAGGGGCCAGATGTTCAAACAATGCATACTCCGATAAAACCATGAATACTTCATTTCCCACACATAGCCTGTGATTTATAAAAGATGAATGTTTAGTGAGGATGTATGAACTTCACACATACTTCAGACCAGAGGTACATACAGTTTTGTAGTGTGATCAGAGGGTGATATGATGAGGTGGAGGTGGAATCTAATAATAAAAGAATTATCCTTTATTGTTTGTCTGGTTTCATAGTGATCTGTAAAATGCTTTTGATTAATTACTTTTATAATTATCTTTATTTACATTTCATGTGTGTTCATAATATTTTAATTTATCCTTTATCATTTGTAAAGTCTCTTTCAATGTGTGACAGTGATGATTATGAGATCACTACTGATGATGGGATACAGATACATGTAATGAATTAATGACAGGAGCTGTATAACTAGTTAGAGGACTGTGTAATGATCACATGTAAATCAGGACCTCTGACACTGCCCTCCAGCTTTACTGCAAGCTATCCTATTTTAATACAGTGGATGTGGGGAATAAAATTAATGATTAAATGAATAAAAACAATGCTGTTTTCTTCCTGTATATAACCCATGGAGCCTACCTACTAAATATTATTGTCCATTGAATTCCTAATACAAGACAGGTTTACCAGTCACTCTTTTCAGTAGCCCAGTCTAGCTGTTCTGCTGACAGGACATCAGAGCGATGATGTAATAGTGGAGGTCACTGTCTCTGTGTGGTTTGAATGGATGGCTGTTTGAATAGCACTTATGGGTCTGGTGTGAATTTGGTGTCAGGGACAAATGAATGAGAGCCTAGTCACCAAAACATCTATTGTTTTATTTTAAGTGTGTAGGATTTAGTGGCATCTAGCGGTAAAATTGCAGATTGCAGCCATTTGAATACAGCTCAGTCTTCCTAGAGAGTAGGAGAAACTACGGTGGCTACAGAACTCATGCACCTGGACCACTAATTTCCAGCAAACAAAAACCAATACCATAAGATTAATTTTGAAAATGCCAATATATAAACAAACCACTGCAAACAAAGCTAACAAAGGGTAAAAAGAAAAGTTGGTATTGGAGCCACAAGCAATAACAAGAGTACTGCTGAGTGAACCAATGACTCACTGTAATAGATGGCTAGTAAACAGACAGAAACAAGTACCATAATAAGTTCTCCAGCCCGGAGATTAAGAGCTGTGGGGTCGTGGAGGTTCCAATAGTCCTTCACCGCTCTGACCTGGAGAGAGCTTGATGCCTCTGCAAAGAGACAGATAGATACAGACACATCATCAGGAGGCTCCTTTTACTGATCTCTCTTTGGGATTTACCAATCTCTCCCCCACTGTTTTCCCCACCCTAGTCTCAACCAAATATCCACATTTCATAAGAGCATCAATGAACTATCAAAAAATGTTTTTCTAAGAGATATCAACCTCTCAGCAGCTGTTTGATTTCCCGGCTGGCTGTGGAGGTGGTGAACTGGTTGACGATGTCCAAAGCTGTCTGGTTGTACGTGTTGCGCATGTTCACATTGATGCCCGCCTAGATACACACACACACACACGGCACACACACACACACACACACACACACACACACACACACACACACACACACACACACACACACACACACACACACACACACACACACACACACACACACACTGTGGGATTACTTCGGGTGAGATAAGACTTTTTAAACAAACCCTCCCATAAATGCCCCCCTCCTCTATTAAAGAATAACACTGGAATTGTAGTGTGAAGTTGTGTTAACTTTACACAGTTTTTCTATCTACACCTTCACTACAAATATATGAGCCTTCAAAATCCCATTTCAGCTGCAGTGAAATTGTAGTTATATCGTCTTTGCTTACATCAAGCAGCAGCCTCACAACTTCGGTTTTGCCATAGAGGGCAGCCTCGTGCAGAGACGTCCCTGCTTTGGTGGCTCTGTTGATGTCAATGCCGGCTTTGAGCAGCAACCTAGGAAATCAAAGCAGAAACACTGATGTAAAGCCTCAGGCGACACTCAGAAAAAGATTCATCCATTCAACTGTTACAGACATCTGCAACATCTCATTAAGCCATATACCCCCCACTCATCCACCCACACACACACACACAGAGACACACACACACAGAGACACACACACACACAGACACACACACACACACACACACACACACACACACACACACACACACACACACACACACACACACACACAAGTTAACCAATATTTCTCTGGTTCTGTAGGAATGCTGATGGCGTCGTATCCAGAGAGCGGTGCAGGAGGAGGAGGAGGAGGAGGTCCTAAGCTCGCTGTGTGAAGGTTGAGTCAGATTTTGAAGAAGTAAACAACACTGAAGCATTGCTGTAGGATATTAGCTGGATTCATGTGCATGGTGTTTTCTTAGCGTTAACCCACTCCAAGCACATTCTTGCCACCAGTGTGTCCGCTGGATAATAATACACACATACACCGTATGTTTCCTTTCTGTCAAACAAGAACGGGTTAAACTAAAACAGACAATCTGCAGTATTCTAAAGCTTTAATTACAGGCTGTACAACTACAGCAGGGAACATTTACATCTGTAAAGGACTGAGCAGGACAGATACTTTACAGGCAACCTTTCAGCAAGCTCAAAAACGGTCTTCAATTGTTGTGCAGTAAAACTGTTAAGACAGAAAATCATATTTTGAATGTCTTTTACTATAGTTTATATATACTATAGTATAGTATATATATAAAATATATAAATTTGTAATATTTTGCTCAAATTTGTAATTTTACAGTTGCATTTGAAATTGTATCATTCAATTCTTTATCTTACGAGACAATTGTGAAAATAATTTTATGGGCAAAACCCTCCTCATATCTGACACGTAAAATAAACAAAATAAATAGAAATTTAATAAAAAATAACTTTTCTCTCATAAAATTACAACTTTTTGTCATAATCTTTTAACTTCACATGCAAGCTGTACTTTTATGAGTGGGTAGTCTATAGCAAGGTCCAGCTTATGTAGGACACAGCAGAAGGGTTGGACAGATAGGATAAATATTAAACCATGCAGTATGTTGAAAAAGGAGCCTGAAGCAAACCCATTGTGGCTGATGCCTTTTTCCTTTACTCAGCAGCAACAGTTTTAGTCTTCCTATTAAACCTTGAGAACTATGAATGTCTGAAAACAGCCATAAAGCTTAAACTTCTCCATCTCTGTCCTGAAGATAAGCAGCTGGTTTACTCTCATATTCTCTACATATACAAAATATATACAAACTGCAATGCATGTCCACACATGGGGTAAACTATGGTTCTGAGGATCAAATTTAATTATGAATTATACCAATCACAGAATTCTTGAGAATTGTATTCAATGTATAATCATTACTGTTATTTTTCCCAAAGTGTATACATATACGACAGTAAATCCACACCAAAAATCTTTCCTGGGCCAAAATCCTTTCTTCTGGTTGTCTGTGTGCAAATATTTGCAGCTGCAGTTTTAAGCAGACCTCAAAAGCTTCTCCAGCTATACAAAAAGTAGGTACTATAAGACGTCTGCTGTATAAGTATGGCAGTCTCTGAAGAGAGATAAATCCCTTAGTGAGCGATCACAGCTGAATTCTGCTGAGTAAACTCTGAACAAACTTGTGTGCTAAATGCAGTGGATTCTTTAAAACTCCTATTTGTGTTGAAAGCTTGCCTTTTCTCCTCCATCTCTGCTTTTCAACTCTGCAGCTCGGGAGGAGAGAGGAGGATGGGAGGGTATTGCAAAAGAGATCTGATCATTTAGGATGGAAATCGTTAGCAGCATGTCTGAGAGGCAGGGTGGAGTTGCTTGGCTAAGTACGTACATATTTACACAGATATGCTGACATAAAAAGTGTGAAGTCACTGGTATTAAATATCACTTACTGGTTTTACTTTCTGGAACAACCTAAGGGGATATATTTAGCACCTGCAGCTGTGAATTAAGGACTGGCACAATATGGTATTCTGTGTATTACCAGTACTGTGCAGTGGAGTAATAATAGCAGCACTAATGGTAGTAGTAGTAGTAGTGGTACTGCAGTAATTGTACCAGTAGTAGCACCAGTAGTGAGTAGTTTTGGTAGTAGTAGTAAAGTAGCAGCAATAGTAGGAAGTAGCACTGACAGCCCCAGTAGAGAGAGTAGTAGTACTAAAAACTGTTGTAATAGTACAAGTAGTAGTGGTGGTTGAAGTGGCATTATTAGCAGCAGTATTAGCAGTAGCAGCAGTAGTTGTAGAAGTAGTTACAGTAGCACCAGTAATAATAGCAGTAGCAGTAGCAGTAGTAGAAGCTGTAGCAGTAACCATAGAAATAATAGCCATGGTAGTGGTAGCAACAGTAGTTATAGTGTTACCAATAGCAGCTGTCGTAGTGTTATCATTAGTAGTAGAGATTGTGGCAGCAGTAATATAGTAGTAGTAGCAGCAGCAGTGGTAACAGTAGTAGTTGTAGTAGTAGAAATAGCAGTATTGGCAAAAGCATTAGCAGAAGTCGAGGTATCAGCAGTGATACACAAGCAGTAGTTAGCAGCTGTAGTAGCAACAGTAATCCTAGTATTAGTCGATGTAGGACCAGTGGTAGCAGCGATAACAGTAGTAGCAGTAGTAGCAGTAGTAGCAGTAGTGGTATGTGTCATTCCTGTAGCAGCAGCAGTAGCTGTGGTTAAAGCAGACAGAAGCTGCTGCAAAGATGAAAGGGCAGAAATAGATATGTGATGGAATTCTATTACAGTACATTTCCACACTGCTCCCCGCTGTGATCTTACTTGATGATGTCTTTGTGTCCATTCCTGGCTGCCAGGTGGAGGGGGGTGGTAGATGGCGAGTCGAGGCTGTCCTGCCCTCCTTCCCCTTCTAACAGCACTGCCACCATGTTACTGCTCAACAGCAACTGAGCCACCTAAAGAGAAATCAAAGACAGCAGGATGAAGATGAAGTGTGGGTTTTGAGAACAGAAGAGTGGCAGAATCAGGGCAAGAATTAAGGCATCAGCTATACTTCGATATATATGCAAAGCCAAGCTAGCTGAGGTTGTGTGGCGAAAATATGGATTGAAATAATATATATATATGGTAACTTATATATAGGGTCAAGCTAGTACATAGAGGCTTATCCACAACTCAGCAGCTGTCTAAAGATACCACAGCCCCTCTCTCACACTCTCACTCACAAAGTCTGCATGTCACAAAAACAGCCCAAAGCCTTCTATTCTTTCACAGCTAAACTGCAAACTCGGACCAGAAGAGAAAACATTTAACAGCCATAGGGAGTGTGTGTGTGTCTAATTCTGAATTACTGGGCCAGCTATACATCTCACAGCCAGGCTTATCCGGTGACGTGACAGAGAAACAGTAAAACACAGTGCAACGTGCAATCCCTTTAACGTTACAGTGTGCGTGTGTCCTGAAAGAGCCACTGAAGCCTATTTTCCTTTCGCTCAAACAAGCTTAATATAGCTGGGTCACTTCATGTAAGCCATGGTTCATGTTTGACATAGGCCTTCCCCATCTAAAAAAGGGCGAAAAGGGCCAAATGGGGTGTTTTCACATGCAGATAATTGGATTAGAATGAGGAGATTAATAAAGCATATCAAAGCGTCTCTTGGGCAAAATTTCTCAACAACTATTGGATGGATTGCCATGAAATTTGAATCCTAAAAACTTTGGTAATCCTCTGACTTTTCTAAACAGGGCCACCATTAGGTCAGCTTTTTCAATCGGATGCAATTCTTTTACATCACATCCACATCGTACCGTATCGTATTGCACTGAATCTGATCGTTGGCAATGTGTCGAGCTGCGCATCACATCGGCCTCGGTGATGAAGCACATCCGTAATAGAATATAGGGCTGTGCTCTTTTTCCCCAAAGCTTAATGTTTTATTTTTTAATAGAGTAATCATTTCTATAGATAGGCCAATTAATTGGTCGATGTCTGCACTCACAAGGCCAATAAACAAAAAATTTCGGCAGATACAGCTATACAAAATGCGGTGCTTTTGTTTTTTCCTGCCATTTTTGATGCAACGCCTCTCTGTGAGCTGTAGGTTAAACTCACCGACTGACAGAATCACCACTAGCAAGGCAAACTCAAATACTTCGTCTGCAGTGACGTAATTCAGATGACGGTTGAGGTCATAGTGACCTTTGACTCAAGTGTCACCAATTCTTTCTCCAACCAATTATGAACTATGGTCACCAATTCTTGAGTTATGGCCAAAAGTGGGTTTTGCGAGGTCACAGTGCCAAATTGGAGGAAATTCCCTCAAGGCATTCCTGAGATATTGTGTTCACGAGGATGGGACAGACAGATGGACAACCCAAAAAATATAAAGCTTTCAGCCAAGGAAGCAGAGTCATAATAAAAAGAATAAATCTGAGTACACAACAACTATTAAAATATATATTAACATAATATTCTTTGACTTATTACTTGAAAATGTTGTGTACAACATTACTTTTCATTTTCCACTTTACCACAGTGTACCACACCCACATCACTCTGAAAGTGCACAACTCACACATTGAACTGTGTGTGAGGTGTGCACTTTCCTACTGCGCATAGTTTTGTGACTACCAGTGCGGTAATGGTCTATGCATAGCACTGATATTTTTGTACTGATGATGCTAATGATGGCAGGGACGATGAATGTCTGGCTTTTATGTAGTGTTTTATAATTTTATGGTTTTAATATTTGTACTTATTTTATTTACTAATTTTATTCTGTTATTAACATTTCACTGTTCTATTATAATCAATTTATTTTGTGTAGTATTTCATAATTTGATTTTTTATTTTGATTATTGCCATCTTTTATTATCTTGTTGTCTTATTTGACTTTTTCTTTTTGTTGTTGTTCTCTTGGTGTGCATTAGTCTCTTAATCCTTTATTGTAACATTATATTATAATTATAGTATAATTATCTCTTTAGTCAGTTTCTTGTTTTTAACTGCATTTTATTTGTTTGAAAGATACAATATAAATAAAACTTGATTGGTTGATTGAAGACAGAATATCATCTTGAGGGCTACAGTTAAACAAATTGTGTCAAATCCATCATGCTGTAGGTGATGAAGGTTTTTAATGAAAGATTGATATTCATAGATTGATATATGAAAACAACACACAAATATTCTCATACCTTCAGTCTGCCGAACTCACAGGCCAGATCTAGAGGAGTCTTCTTCGCCTTGTTCATCAGACAGGGATTAGACTGGTGCTGCAGCAACATCTCAGACTGAGAGAGAAAGGGAGAAAGGATAACGTAAGTGATATCACCTCATATATTATGCACTGGCACTCACATGACAGTCATCCCAACACATTCTGTGTGTGTGTGTGTGTGTGTGTGTGTGTGTGTGTTGATATTTTGTCTTTGAACAGAAGACATTAACACATGATAGCTCTGCTGTGGCCTTTGTTTAGGATTGCCAGCATTGTGTTGTACTGAAGAGGTCACCCTCAATATATATGACGGGTTGAGGTTTGTGTGTGTGTGTGTGTGTGTCTGTGTCTGTGATATGTGTATCTATCCATTAAGACATTCCAGGAGGAAGAGGCTGGAGGAGAGGAATGTGTGTGTTCACTGCCTGTAGACTCTTGTGAAAAACCTATGTCATGGCATTAATGGTATTACTGGTATTGTTGGTGGACAATACAGGCTGAGACACAAAGGGGGTAGATTTCAGTGAAATGGGAGGACTGGTAATGCCTTGGAACTTTGCCTTTGGCAGCTGAGGTGTCCTTGTGTGTGTGTGCGTACTCACCACCTCATAGTGTCCATACTGAGCAGAGAGATGTAACGGTATCTGTCCATCATGGGAAGGGGAGTTGACTGAAGCTCCAGCTCTCAGCAACAGTAAAACAGAGTCAGCTTTACCCTGCCATGCTGCGTAGTGCAGGGGACGCATGCCTACAGACAGAAACATGAGTGAGGGATGGAGCACTACTGATTAGACATGTCAACTTCAATTTACTATTCATGGTGGGTACTAATCAGCCTGTGAAAACAGTTGTATAATGTCTTCTGTTGCTCTGAAGGATCTTTGTTAAGTCTGACAATACAAGCATGATGATATCATAGTGATGTCATCAGGGTTATCTCAACTTGTGCTGGGGATTTTTAACAGAAAGTCGGTCAGGGTTAACCAAGCAGGAAGGGTCTAACAAAAGAAAATATCAAATTGCATCATGGGAAGTGTAGGATCAAGTTTTTTGACCCATATTAGGAACTCAAAGTCAGACTATCTTGGCCATCGCTGCATTGATTTTGTTCTTGCTTTATCTGTCTCTGGCAAGTCATCCAAGTTTATGGAAGTGTAATACTAAATCATTGGGAGTGCTCCACTAAAGTGACAAAAGGCTGGCATTACTCTATTTTTCTTACAAATCCCACAAAAAGCAAAAAAAATGTTTGGACTACCCTGACTTTGGCACTGGGACCCAAGCCCATTGGTTCCTACTGAAGACATCTTTAAAGCAGCATCAGTGTATTTTTCTGGCCACTTGACAAGCTGCTTAAGGAGAACCACATTTTTTATCTGCATTTGACTAGTAGGAGCAGTGGGCAGCAACCATGCATTGCCCTGGGCACTGACTGGAGAATTGGCCAAACTCCACACATAAAGGCTCAGCTCCACCCAGGATACGAACCAAGGACTTTCTTGCTGCGAAGCGACAGTGCTTAACACTGACTAACTGTGCCGCCGTACAGTATATCAGATCCCATTGAGATGCATACAACATTGGCCTCAGTAATGAAAATGCACATTCCTAATATAGTGCTCTGCTCTTTTTACCCAAAGCTTAATGTTTTATTTCATAAAAGCATCTGGCAATAGTCGTGGTCTTTATTCTGTTTTGTATTACAAAATACACCATTGTAAGTAAAAGTGATGCATTGAAAAGAATAATCAGGAAAGTGCACTACAGTATTACTGTACTTAATGCAGAAAAATGCCACCCCCATTATGCTGTTGCATTAATAGATTATTATTTCTTATGCATTAATGCAAAAGCAGGATTTTACTGTTGTAGGTGGTTGAGGTAGAGTTCATTTTGAACTATTTTGTATAGTTGTATTATTATTATCATGATGATTTTCCTCATGGATTAATCTGCTGATACTGTATTTTTCTCCATTAATCCACTGATTGTTTAGTTTCTAGAAACTCTAAAATTAGTGAGAAATTCTGTCACAATTACCCAGATCCCAAATTGACACTTGTTTCGTCCAACCAGCAGTCCAAACCTCAAAATGATTCCAAATAAAAGGTACCACTATACATTGTATCTTATGTAGCGTTATGGCAGGTTTTAAATATTTTGGCCAGTACAATATTTTAGTTCAGCAGCCATTGGCATATAGACCAAAAGGTTAATTTGGAACCCTGCACATACGGTTATGAACACTATACGCCTCTGGTCACAGCCGCTGCCACTCCCGCACAAATTCTACTATATCTGTTCCGCTTGGAGTCTGTCACTGCACGGCAGACAAACTTCAAAGTGAATCATATTTATTCATATGGCTCAAACTTATTTTCAGCTGAGAGTGTCAGAAAGCTGTTGAGGAAGTTTCAGGCTCAATATGAACCCCAACTGACTTCCCAGGCGTGAGCATTTTTGTTTTTTAAGGTCTGGGTTTGTCTGGTGAGACTGGTTCAGCAGGTAAAGCTGTTCTGCCATCATGATACCGTTGATGTCCTTGATATCCACCGTGGCCTGGGCCTCCAGCAGCAGAGACAGGAGCTCTGTGGTGCCCGTCAGAGCGGCATGGTGCAGCGCTGAGAAGCTGTGAGCGAGAGAGAAAAGGGGGGGAGGGTGGGAGGTCAAGGGAGAGCGAGAAGGGGACAAAACAAGGAGATGAGAGGGGTTATAAATCATACTGATGAGTTTACAGCTGCAACTCTTCTCAGAACTCCAGACGAAGATGATGTGAGTGTGTGCTCTCATCAAAACTCCACACTAAGATGTGCGACGTTGTGTGTGTGTGTGTGCGTGCGTGTGCGCTGTGAGATCCCATTATAAACTGCAGCCTCAGATAAGAATTTATGTGTGTTTTATGAGTGTGTTTCCCCATCCGCCCATCAACACTTCAGACTGAGAAGGCAACTCTGTGTGTGTGTGTGTGTGTGTGTGTGTGTGTGTGTGTGTGTGTGTGTGCAGTATGCATCATCACAACTATAGGCTAAGAAATGATGTGTGTTCATTTGTGTTCGCTCCCACATCAAACTGCAGATTGAGATAAGGATCTTTTCTGCGTGTGTGTGTGTGTGTGTGTGTGTGTGTGTGTGTGTGTGTGTGTGTGTGTGTGCACGAATGCGTCTGAGTTCATCAAAGCTTCGGAGATGAAATGTGTGTGTTTGTGTCTGTCAGGTCGCAGTATATTCCACAGAGGGAGAAATTAAAGGCATAAATAAATTCTGGGCGACGAGTTTTGCTTTTGCTTGGAGCGACGCAGACAGTGAGTGCTCCAGAGGAGGTGACCCTCCAAGGAGACACACTCCCCATATGTGGGGATAAAATAGCAACTACAGCACAGAGGGCTTTCAGATGATTTCACACAGCCTCAGGCAGTCATTGAGGAAGCCCTGAGCACCTGGGCACCAGTGGCAATAAACAGTCTGGATGCATTTGGAAAGAGAACTGAATGTAGCTTTCTCAGCAGAGATCAATATAGGTGTTTAAAAATGTTTCCATTGGTTTTTCACCAAAACACACCAATGCCTAACAAATATGCTGACTACATATCCTTTCTCATATTTATCTTGCATTAATCTGATTCATTGTTTGTTGTCTGGTCCGAGTTTGCAGTTGTCCATCATGTGTTAAATGTCACAGCCCGTAAAGTAAACTCAGGTGAGTGAGGCTTTTCCCATTTTACCTCTGCTATTTACATCTTGTCAGCAGTAAGAGTGCAACTGACTGGTGATGCTGCACTAATAATATGAGGCCTATATCAATAAATAAGGTTTGTCAGTTAGCTAGCTAACTGAAACCTTGCGAGACAGCTGGATTCGCAAGATCACAAAATCACAAGATGACGTGAGAATCCGTCTTGCCAAGCTCAAAGTTACGTGTTAGTCAGTGATATAACTTCTACAGGATCCCAAGATGGACAGGGAGATGGAGGCTGTGTATTTAATAAGGCCTGTAATGCAATTCAGTCTTATTTAGAGCCCTAGGCTAACTTGTAGTATTTGGTCATTGCATTATTTCCATTTTAGTTGTTATCTTATATTTCATATCATTCACATTGAATGTAATTAAATGCTGTTGCAATAACCTGACTTCCCTTTGAAATTAGACTTAGGTCTTGTATAAATACTCAAGAACTCTACCTCTAAAATATGAACACATTTAGAGCTGTGCAGTTTTGTTTGACTTGAGTTATCCAGGAAGAGTATCCAGGATTACCAATGCAAGGATTAGTGAAGCCAGCCCAAAGAGAGCCTGACTAAGGTGAGTGAGGCAAGTTAGAGGTTATCAAGTTTAGACATCAGTCTGTGCTGATATGAAATCTGAGGGATCTCCAGACTGTGAAGTGGCTTATCTTATCAGAGTCATTGTTTAGGCCTCCATGCCCCTCAGCCACAGACACACACACACACACACACATTCATTTATCCATCCATCTACTCTTCTACCAGACCATACCCTGTCCATATCCTGAGTCACTTAAGCCACTTTCTACAGACACACACACTGTGTCAATCTCTCTCTCTGGGATGGTGTTGACTCAGTGACAAGCGATTGTTTGCTAACCTTCCCCTCCCCTCTTCCATCCCTCTGCACTGGTTTCATATATCACAGGTAACCCCTTCCTCTGTACCACTCTCTCTCACACACACACACACACACACACACACACACACACACACACACACACACACACACACACACACACACACACACACACACACACACACACACACACACACACTCCATCATGGATGGACATGTTTAATTTCAACACCCCTATTGTGTATCACCTCCCACGTACTGCATTGACCCAGCATGTACACACACGCAGCAGGTCTAAGTCACACAGTGCACACACTGCACGTAGGCTGACACATTAACACACACAGCAGCTTGCAGAGCGGGATTCTTTGCAAGTCTGATGGCCTTCTTTGATAGATCTCAAAAAATACATTTGATGGATAAGAACAGAGACTAAACACCTTGAATAAAGTGTGTGTGTCTGAAACGAAAAACAACAAGCCTCAATCTAGGGAGGGTCGAAGCAGCAAGTGGGCAGAACAGCCAAACACTGTAATCAGGCAGAAGTAAAAGTTGTCATCAAAATAATTACAGTAAGGTTACAAAAAAAGGAGAAAAATATTGGCACAGAGCTTTCACCCACATTTCACCCAATCTATAATTTTACTGAAAATACATTTGATTCAGAACTCGCAGATTTTTCTGCCAAACTAAGTAACCCCTACCCCAAACAGCAACGGTTCAATAATAGCTTAGCAATTAACTAGTAACTAGGTAGAGCAGTGTCTTTCAAGCTTTGTATTTCTCCACATGCTGATGTGTGTGCATGAGGCTCTAGTGGGAGTGATATCTACAAACTTTGGAGGGTGGCCAAGAAGCATCTCTTACTACATTATTTTGTGTGTTTAGGGTTCCATTTAAAGAAAAAAGCCCCATTGTGTAGTAGAAGACAGTCCTGGATGCTAAGGCTATGCTACTGGAGGTATTGGAGACAGTGTTACGCCAACCAAACACTTGGGCTAGTACTCATTCTAAAAGTTTTTCTTTTTTCAATGTTAAAAGTAAAACTTACTGTTTGGACATAACGACATCAAAACATACATTTAATCTCTGTATCTAAGCTAAGCAGGTAACGCCAATTTTTACTTTCCCCCTTCCCCCTGTGGCCCTTTGCTGTGTGTCATCCCCCCTCTCTTTCTTCCCTCTTTCCTGTCACTCTTCAGCTATCACTATTGATTAAAGGCAATTAAAGCCCCAAAAATATGAAAAAATAAAACAACTCTGTTTTATCTGCCTAGTTTGCAAACTTGCGGCAAACTGCACAATACATAGTTAGAGTTTCACCCACATCCTCTAATGCCACTGAACTAAACTCTTGTTTCCAGGGTAACTGAAACTCCCGGTGGCGCTTCAGCTCATAAACATTGTCTTTACCCAACGGCATTTTCTCTGCCCGATCGGTACTGAGCATGTGTAACTCTCAACAGAGATAAGAAGGAAGCATGACGGCTCACTCCTTAGCTACTTTCATCATCAACTCCGGAAAGAAAAATTTCCTTTATTTTGGTGTATTTTATTGTTCAGCCCTGGCAACTATAAACTGAATATATGCCTTGCAAGAACAGAGAACTTGATAGATGTAGCAACAGTAACCAAAGTTTCAATGCTTCAACTTCTGCTACTATTTACAGGTACAATTGATTTAGAAAGATTAAGTACAGGAGTAAATGTACTACGCACCTCTGGAAGCAGTTGTTGTGAATCTAAATGAATATTTATGACCAAATCGAGAACTTTTCTTTCTCAAATTCTTCAGCTGTCATATATTAATTATATAAAATTTGTGTCTCTAACTATAAAACCTGATTTTCCTGTAATTCTCTCCGTCTCTAAAGGGTTTGATACTGACTCTGAAGGGCACTATATGTCGAAACATGCGGGTGATTACATGAGTCACACTGGTAAGACACCGGTTTGTCTTCATCCACAGGTAGGGCGCTTTTCTTTCAATCTGCATGTCACTCAAGACACGGTGACTCTTCCATTGCATTCTTTTGACTTGACTTTGTGCTTATCTCACAGGCTGACACACACAAACAGAAGCCCACACACACCCCTCTTACCCGTCTGAGTCTTGGTAGTTGATGTTGAGTCTCTTGGTGGAGCCCAGCAACTCTGGAAGAAGACAAAAGATAGAGGGGAGGGGGGAGGGAGGGAATGGAAAAAGACCATTAGTATTTGGTGACATATTTTTCTTTTCATCAGAGCACTCTCCAGAAATCCCTCCATCCCTGCAGGACCCTATGTGTGTTTTCACAGTGGGTTTTTTTCCCCGTCATCACTCCTTCCTTCAAACAACCTGACAGCCCCGACAGGATGGTGAGCTTTCCTCACCTCCTGCTGCCTCACCCTTCCCTCTATCAGCGTGTCTGACACCCTCATGGCAGCCAAATGAATCATAAACAAATGATTCTGCCTCGCAGAAATGTACCATTCCACCTCGTTTACACCGCTATCTTATCACAGCTCTTTTGAACTGAAAGTGACAACCTTAAAACAAACATATAGGTCTTTTTTCCACAGCAGCAAAAATAGGATAAGTCTGTTAGCAAGACAGAACAAGTTTTTTTTTCCACTCACCTTGAAACAGACAGACTGCTACTTGTCCCATGTCTTAGTCATTCACTGTGTACTCCAAGAGGAAACATACTTTAGTCTACTCCTCTATTCTGTCTCTTTCACAAGTCAAATTCAACATTTTCTATTGATTTAAAAATATTTTCTCCAATTGTCTTCAATTGAATACCAGTTTCCAATTAGTTTACAAATGGTCAAAACTGTTATGTAATGGATATATTTTCCCTGGGAAGCACAGAGACGGCTACAAAGCTGTCCAAGGGTTGCAATGGAAGCATAGTTGTTTAAATTTTTGTTTTAATCTTAAATCGAAATCTTTATTGTGACAACACTAAGTTCCTCTTCTACATGCATAATCCTCTTTCTAAGTATCATCCAACGCCAATCGAATCTGGCCATCATCCCAATGCCCTACTCAACCCTTAAAGCCTCATTCTCAGTCCTATGATACTTCAAATATCTATTTCTATCTCAAACGTCCATCTCCAGCCTCTAATGAGGGCAGGAAACTGTCCTCACACGGCTAAATATCCTTGGACAACCTACAGCCGAGACCTACTTTAAAGGCCCTACTGTCCACCAAGACCCACACAGGAACCGGACAGCCAAGGCCTCTGAATACAGAACCATTCATCGCACTCAATCTCCCTCACTGTTTTCTCCCACTTAGGTGTGGGAAATCACATTAGTGTGTGTGTGTGTGTGTGTGTGTGTGTGTGTGTGTGTGTGTGTGTGTGTGTGTGTGTGTGTGTGTGTGTACATACAGAGACAGGAAGAGAAAGAAAACTATACCAGGCGAGACAGTAAGTCTGCAGATATAGCTGGTAACTGTCATTGATCTAACTGCCATTATAGATTAGTGCTGAAACAACAATCAATTCATTGATTAATTGATTGACAGAAAATAAATCACCTGTGACCCATTATAGCTTTTCTGTTTCATGTCATTGTAAACAGAATCTCTTTGGATTTTAAACTTTTGGTGAAACAGAACAAGTAATTGAAAGACATTAAATCAGGCTCTGAGAAATTGTCATATTTCACAATTTTTCTGAATGGTGTCTGAATACCCCCTTCCCCTGGGAGCTGCATCAACCAATTTCTGTAACTTTCCAAAACTGACAATCCAAAAAGCTTACCCACTTCACCTAGCACTGCTCATGTTTATTGGTCCTTCTTTTTAGTGATGTTGCCGCAACCCAGATCTCAGATATTGACTTGGTAGAGCAATGTTATTTGTTATCCATAGGTATGATGGCTAAAACTATGAAAATGAGACCTAGTTTGTAATAAATGGAAACAATCCTTTAAAGGTCCAGTGTGTAGGATTTAGTGGCATCTGTGGTACAGTTGCAGATTGCAACCAACTGAATACGCTGAATATCTAGAGCCAGTGTTTTGTTTGTCTGTTGTGGGCTACTGTAGAAACATGGTGGTTCAACATGGTGGACTCCGACAGTAGAAGAGGACCCGCTCCTTCTGTAGATACAAACAGCTCATTCTAAGGTAACAAAAACACAACAGTTCTTGTTTTCAGGTGATTATAGACTAATGAAAACATACCTATGGATATTATATTCTATTTCTGACAATAGATCCTTCTAAAATGTTACACACTGGACCTTTAAGTATAAATGTAGGAATAAAACTTGTGGAAAAGACTAAATGGATTACATCATCAAAAGGAAATGTTTAAACGTAAGCAGCTTTAGCAAAACAACTTTCTGTGAAAAGGCTGTCTAGAATAAATACTCAATATAAGAAGAATAAGAGAATATGAAGCAATTTGGGAATACATAGCATTTAAAGTGGTTCCCACTGGAGCGCTGATTAAATATTTAATTCTGTCTTTCTTTCTGGTTTATTGATGTTATTTTTCAGCTCAGAAAAGTCATAAAGGGAAAAAATATTCTGATTGCAGTTAGGTTTTCTGTGCATAAAAAAACTCTACTAAAAAAAAACTAACAAAGACGTTTAAAAAAAAAAGATATTGTGCTGCATTCCATAATGTAACCAATTAGTAAATTCTACTGATATTCCTCACTATGCCAAAATGTACGGACAGATGTGGATACAATTCTAGGATATTTAAGGAGCTTCATATAGGATGTCTACCATTTCTCCTAGAGCTAGGAATTCTCACTTCCCTGGTCAAGAAATCAATTCCCACTGGAGGCTACCGTGTCAGAAATGCAAACATTCACAGCCCTGCAGGGGAGTTTTGGAGGAAATTCTCCACCAAAATGCCAACATCAATGCGCACAAACTGGGTACAGTCATGCTAGAGGTTTACATGCAGGCCTACAGTGGAGCTGTAGCTGCTCAAGACTCGCATGCATAAAAACAAGAGCCTGAAGGCACAAAAAGGCACATTGATAATGAGACAGATAGAGGGGTTGGGCGTTGGGCTGCTTGCCAAAACGGGGTCTAAACTGTCCCAGCGGTATGGAAAGAACAGGGCCTTTCAGGAGTTCTAGTTACAACATGAGCCGGCATTCCTTGCATAGCACACCCACCATGCTATCCTACTCGCTCACTGTCTCTCTGACTATGTATCTACAAAACTGTCAACTCCCTGTTCTCCCTTCTGCTTTCCATCCCCTCCCTCCTTCCCTCCTCGCACAAAAGTAGTAGGGGGCTCCTTCTGACAACAGGATCAATTAAGTTACCAGCATGTTGACTCTATGAGTGTGTGTGTGTGTGTGTGTGTGTGGGTGTGTGTGTGTGTGTGTGTGTGTGTGTGTGTGTGTGTGCCCCCATCCCTCACCCCTAGAAGTTGGTGCAAACAGATGTGTAGTAAATCTCATGCATTGTGCTTTCTTGCAGAGACAGGGAAATTACAGGCTTTGCTCCCTGCTGAAAGCTGATGTCCACCGAAACAAAAATTATTGAATGCAAAGAGCCGAAGAGTTGACAGCGTGGAATCCCTCTATTGTTTTCTATGGTTGCGACAAACAAAGAGAAGAAACCATGTGATCCTGTGTTTTGATAACCTTATCAGATGCATAAGCGATGCTCTGAACTACTGTTGTTATGTTCCTCTGCACCTTTCTCATCAGCTGAAGCATCCTGGACAGAAGAAAGGGATCTCAGTGCTTTGAAGTAGAAAACGTAGTTCACAGAGGAGCAAAGCAACGCTGAAAAGAGGAGGGAAATAAAGAGAAGGGGGAGGAGAGGATGGGGAGAGGGGGAAAGATGAATATATTCCCCCATTCAAGTGAGGTGAGGGGAGTGTTTTTTTAAGTGTGTGTGGCAGGTGCGTAAACAAGAAAACACACTTTTTAAAACCCTCGCAGTGAGATCAGACAGGTGAGCAAATACCTCTGAACCTCTTCAGAGAAGGGAGAGAAGCTGGAAAATGTAAATAAAAAATAAAAGAGAACAAAAAAGCTGGCTGGCTTGTATTTGTCTCGTTCAACAAGGCTGCAGTTGGCAGAGGCGTGTGTTGGTTTGGTTTGCACGGCTGCAAAAATCCATTTTAAAACGTCTTTGATCGCGGTCAATGCATGTAAATACTGGAAGGCTAATGCATAAACAATTGACAACAATCAGCATCGGTCTGTAAAGGCACACTACGTAATTGTACATGCCGGCAAGAGATACCGGTGTGAACATGAAGGAATTCAATATTCAGAAGTCTATCAAGTCTGGGATCAGAAAACGCAATATCAGCCCAACAAAACAGGGTTATCTGGAACAAAAATGAGCATCAGGCGCGGCAATGGCTCATGTAGTATGTCACGAGGATCACTGCTGACATCTTATCTAGCCAAACAACATCTCAGCAAAAAGGCCGTAGCATGTCCAAACTTTTTGCCTTCTCTCGTCCAGTTAGACAGTAAATGGTTCCAGCAGAGTCACTTCCATTCATGGAACCGTGATTATACCTGTAAACACTCCGATTCTTGAAAGAAATACCCGACTCTTTATCTGCTGAATGCAGAATGCTCCACTATGCTCACCAGCTGGTTGCTACAGGGCAGGTAGTGTACAGTGGGAAAAGAGCATTTTCACTGAAAACAGCTGCCTGTTTCGACTGAAAATACTGAAAACCCTGCAGAGCTAAATGGCAATTCTCTGTGGTTTCCTCATGACGAGCAACACCTCTTCATTTTTCATAGTCTTGTGTAGTGTATCTTAAATGTTGCTTGGTACACAGTGCTTCTCATATTGTACTGTTGAGTGCAGCTTTCTGACATTTGCCCTTTTCTTTTACTATCTGGCTATATCTGAGTTACCTTGTCTTCCAGTATTATTACTCCACTTTGCTGCATCGAGATTGACTTAACTTTTTTAATGTTTTGGAAAAAGACAGAAAAGCCTTTCCACTGGTGTTTTGACAAAAAAACATCAGGAATAACAGTGGTTTCTTACAGGCTAGGCTCTTTGGAATTGTGTTAACTGTCCTCTATATCTGGAAAATATTCCTTGGAGTTATGCCGCAGGGAATTTAAACCCACTTCCACCCACGCCAGCTTCTCATTAACAAAAGCCAAAAGGGACACTCGGTTCGGGAGTTGTGGGCTGGCCCCCACACC